GCGCTGCAGCCAACGACCTGCTCCTCCACAGTGCTGAGCAGATCCAGATGCTGCTGCGAGCGGCGCTTCGTGCTGCTGGGGCCCAGGGGCAGCTCCAGGTATCTCTCCATGGGTGCCGCTGCGAGTCACGCTCTTGTGCTCTCTTCTGTCCCCAGAGAGCTGTGAGGGGGTGGTGTGCGGCCCCGACAAGGTGTGCAAGATGAAGCACGGCAGGCCCCAGTGTGCCTGCGCCCCCGATTGCTCCAGCCTGCCCCGCAAGCTGCAGGTCTGCGGCTCTGATGGCTACACCTACCGTGATGAGTGCGACCTGCTGACGGCCAAGTGCAGAGACCACCCCGACCTGGAAGTGATGTACCAGGGCAAATGCAAAAGTAGGTTCTGCCGCGTCCCTGCTTTGCTCCCATCCCCTGCCCTGTGGCTCTCGCTGCTTCCAAGCTGCGTCCAGGAGGGAAAAAGGGATGAACAGCGATGAGCTCCCCAAATTACACAGCTTGGCAGCGATGATGAGAAGCTGCGCTGCTCTGTCATGTTGTGCCAGCACGTCAGGTCACCGTCCCCACCTCTCCTGCCCTGCACAGCCAGATCTCTCTGTTAGCCTAGCCATCGGGGAGCTGGTCCTGCCCTGTGCAGACAGAGCTGCCTTTGCAGCTTGCTCCTCTCCCACGGGAACAGATCTGCAGGCTGGGTTTGCTCTGCACAGGGGCCAAGCGCAGCCCCCACCTGCATCTCCCTGCCTGGGGTTAACTCATGGCTGAGCTCTCTGGCCCTGTGTCACCTTCACTGCAGGGTGGAGCAGCAGAGCTGGCACTGTGGCAGCTCAAACCGGGCGGCCAAGGGGCTGCTTGGGATGCTGGAGCAGCTCATCGATACGATGGGGGATTCAGCTTCGCTGCAGCTGGGGAATAGCAGTCCGTAAAATGTCACTTCCAAACATCGAGCCCCTTTTTTGTTGTTTTGTTAAAGAGAGCAGTAATCCTCCTCTGCCCTGCCAAGAACTGTCAGAATTATTATGATTATTTTCGCCAGCCCTCCTCTCTGAAATGCTTTGCCTGTCAAGCTCTGGACTGCACAGTAAAATTTGGGGCAAGAAATGTGAGTTGCAAGCTGGGAGTTGCAGATGCCAAGTCTCCTTCCAATCCAGCAGGAAAATAGAGGGAGGAGAAGGGAAGGCTTCGAGCCGTGTTTACAGCATCCGGGGAGTACGGCGGGTCTGCTGTGCTCCAGGGCTGCTGGTGTGCAGAGCCCACAGGACGGGGTGCACGAGCTCCCTGCTCTGCTATGGGGCTCAGAGGCCTTCCCAGGTCCTGATCAGCCCCGCTCCTTCTTTAAAGGCCAGGTGCTGGTAGCTTGGGCACTGCAGTGAGGATGTCAGCTCCCTGTTGCATGCACGATTCCCGCTTCCTCCTTGCTTCCTGGGTGCACTGACCGTGGGAGTGGGATGCTGAACTTCACAACTTGCTCTTCCTGAGATGCTGAGCCTCAGACTCAACGTGCTTCCCTTTAGAATCCTGTTCCAGCGTGGTGTGTCCAGGCACCCACACTTGCGTGGTGGATCAAACGGGCAGCGCTCACTGTGTGATGTGTCGGACGGCTCCGTGTCCAGAACCCACCAGCCTGGACCACGCTCTCTGTGGCAACAACAACATCACCTACCCGTCGGCGTGCCACCTGCGCAGGGCCACGTGCCACCTGGGGCGCTCCATCGGCGTGCGGCACTACGGGAGCTGCTCAGGTGAGCGGGACCAGGAGCTTGACTATCAGTGGGGCTTTGCACATCCAAACCCTTTGTTTATATCCCCTCATTCCTTTTCTTCTTTTCTCTCCTCCCTTCCAGCCTCGGCCAGGTTCTCCCTGGAGACGGATAACGCGGAGGAGAACTACGTGTGAATCCTTCCCGCGCCGCGAGGCTGCGGCCGGCAGACAGGGGCATTATGTGTATACTGTACAAAGCATATACCTGATATTTATTAAGATTAAAAGGTCCTTATTTATATCTGTATGCTACGCAGATGCAGAGGGACGGCTCCTGGCCGTGCCTGCTCACATCCCCTGTGCTGCTCCGGGCATCAGGGGAGCGCCTGCACTGCCGCACCCCCCCATAACGTGTCCTTGGACGGCCGCCCCGGGCCTATTTATTTTTGGATTGAATTCTTGGTACTGTGCTGACGTTTCTGGCCAGGACCTCGGGGTCGAGTAGGAATCTGCTCTTTATCTTTCCCCGGAGGGGCTCAGCCCCAGCTGCCAGCAGCACGGAACGGAGCGCGGAGCCGCGCCACGTTTGAGATGGATAGATCTCTATTTTTCTATGTCGTTTATTCTCCTGCGGTTTATAGCAACTGATTGCATTTAGGTTCTCCCCAGCCCACCAAGACCCGGCTTCCAGCTCTTCTGGAGGCAATACTGGAGCCGCCCCGAGGTGCTCCAGTCCCCACTCCCAGCACTGCTGCTGCTTGTCCTCCTTCACCCATCCGTGACCAAACCCACGTGGAAGGCAAAGGGCTGCAGGGCTGCTGGGACACCCAGCCCCGCATCCCCACTCCCTCTCAACGCCCTCTGTATTTATTTTAACTTCCTCTCTCTCTTGTTTTTGTGCGTGCGTTGTGATCTGTGTACATACCATCTCATCTCTGACACCTCGCCTTTATATAAATACCGTATATATAATATATATAAATACCCTATTTTCTATTTTTGTATGATTGTGTTCTGATTGCTGAGGCAGGCGTTATAGGAACGTATACATTTCCTATTCCGTATCATTTAGGAGCATTTTACGACTGTGTTACGATTCGGATTACGATTAAAAAAGAATAAAAGCTGCTGTGGTTCTGCTTTTGTTGCGCTGCTCCGTGGCCCTGCAGGCTGCTGCAGCCCTGCATTGGGAGGAGTGCTTTCCCCTCTGTTACCTGCAATGGAAGCTGGCTGGAGGGATCTGCAATCAATTGGGTCTGTAACCTCAATTGGAGCAGCCTCAGCCTGGTAGGGTAGCAGGTGAAGCCTCAGCTCAGCTCCTGCTCTGTGGCTGCACCCGCCCGGGCCACCACCACATCTGTTTCAGCTTTGTGTCGTGGTTTTTCCACCCCAGCCAACTCTGTGAGCAGCAGCAGCGAGAGAGGAAAGGGGAGAGAGAAGCAAAAAAAAAAAGAGCAATGCAAATCAAATGTGTTCCTAATATCAGTGTGCGCCGTAAGGGTTTGGTATTTCACAAAACAATTCCTGCCATTAATTGAGTCCTGATGTGCAAAGCGGAGGAGCGGGAGCTGGGCTGCAGCCTGCAGCGTGCCTTTGGTGGCTCCCAGGGCAGTGCTGCTGTGTCCCCAGCTGTGTCCTTGTATGTGGGGATGAGGGACAGCACGGCTGCGCCGTGCCCCTGCTTGTGGGATGGGTGCTGGGGAGCAGCCGTGGTGCTCAATGGGGCTCTGCAGCGCTCGGTGCCCTGCAGCCCAGGCCTGCAGCAGCTGGAGTGGCTGCGTCTCACAGCTCCAAGGTACCGACCTCATGGCTCTGGTGCTGACCCACGCCGTGCAGCAGGCATGGGCTGCAGCAGTGACATCAGCAATACCAGTGAGCAAGAGATTTCAGCTTCCAGAATGGTTTTGTGAGTCAGTCGTCTCCTTGCCCCAATGTTTGGGTGGTCTGGGGTGAGCTGGGACAAACGCAGCAGCATCGTGCACACCCTGGGGGCTGGCAGCCCTGCTCTGGCAGCATCCTCCCTGGGGACCCACAGGGATCTGAGGTTCCCCTGTGTCTGGCAGCCTGGTAACATCCATCCTCTGCTGAGCATCCCCAAGGCTTCTGCTGGGCTTCTTGCTGCAGAGACCATGAGGGCTGTAGGCTGATCTTGGAGTGCTGGCCATGCTCTGCTATTTGTGCCCTCCACCGCTGTCTGAGGGATGCCCTGTGCCAGAGTGCCAGCAATTGGCAGATAAAACAAACAGCTGGGAGCAGGGAATGACTGAACTGTCCCCAGGGGTGGCTGCAGAGCTGGGAGAGAGCCCTGTGCTGCGTGTTGGCAGAGGTCACGCTGCTGCTCACACACGTTCCTGGGTCCCTGGGGTCAGTGCTTGGCCCCATCCCCGGGGAGGAATGCAAAGTCAGAGCCTTACAGCAGCATCCCAAACCCATCTGCCTGTACAGGTGGGAGCAGGTATGCTGGGAGCTGATGGCTTTGGGATGTGGCTGTTCACATAACACGGAGATCCCGTGGTGTGATGGGGAAGGGGTGGTGTGGGATGGGGCAGGATAAGGAGTTTGCCCCAGTCAGAAGGATGCTGAGATGCTCCATGGGTGGCAGTGCCTGTGTGCAGATCCTGGCTCACAATAGTGCCTGGTCCTGAGCAGGGTCTGCTGCTGCTCTCCTCTCTGCATTTCCATTCATGGAACCCCATGAGGCAAGCTGGGCTGTGGGGTAGCACCAAGCCCATGATCCCAAGAGGGCACTGTCCATCCTCCCTGCGCCAACAGCAGGGGCAGGACAGGAGAAGGAACAGCTGGAAAAGGCAGGAGGTGGGCAGCAGCTGCCTTTGGCAGGGCAGGATGAAGGGTGGCCCCAAACAGCCCTTCTGGGATCAGCCACCCAAGGTGGGATTAAAGGGGGCAGGGAGCTGGGGTTGGGTTCTGCAGGCTGTGAGTAGGTGAGGCTGTCCCTCAGTCTGTCCCTCAATCTGTCCCTGCAGGGTTCCTGCAGACTGTGGCAGGATCAAGGTGAGGCTATGCTGGGGTGGAGAGGGGGAGAGGGTCTGTGGGGTTTTCTCCTACACCAGAGCTGGGCTGGGGCCCCATCAGAGGTGGAAGTGAGATGGGTAAAGAGAGAGCAAACAGACAGAGGTATGGGAATGAGGTTTTATTTAGAGAGCAAAATGGTGATGCAGCAAGGGGGGAAGTGAGGCACTGGGGTTCTCTGTGCAGCCGGGGGGATGCTGAGCTCCTCGCTACCATCAGCCTCCTGCGTTGCCTTGGAGCACGTAGGGAAACTGAGGCAGGAGTGATGAGCCCTGGTGTCAGTTCCCATTGAACATCAAAGCCCTTGGAGCCGGAGAGGGATGTGGGAGGCCTGGTCTTTCCCACCCCGCTGCTCCTTGGTCCCCCCCTCCTCCTCTGGGCCCGGTTTGTGCTTCTTCTGCCCGTGGGGCTGGCGATGGCTGAGCACAACTTGATGCACCCAGTCGATGTAGTTGGAGATCCTGGTGAAAATGTCGGGGTACCGGCGGTCCCCACATCTCTCCCCGGAGAACGAGACGACACCATAAACCTTCCCTTTGAAGACCAGGGGTCCCCCAGAATCACCCTGTGATGGGGAGTGGATTAATAGCAGCCTTATGGGCCAGGAAGGCTGGGAGGGTTGGGGTGGCTGCGTGGCACTCACCGCACAGACGCCCTGCAGCGTGGCATTGCGGCTGGCCCCGCACAGCATGTTGCCTGAGACACGGCCCTTCCATAGGGTCCGACACAGGCTCCTCTTGATGATGGTGGTGTTGGCTTCCATCAGCTGGATGGGCCGCTCGCCGTAGTTGGAGATGTCCCCCCAACCCACCACGGAGCAAAGGGTGCCTGGTTTCAGGTCGATGTGTGGCCGGGGCAGGCGGATGCGCTTCACGAATGCGTTCAGCGTGGCCATGTGGTTCAGCTGGGCACGGAGTGGGGGGCACGGCTCCCTTCCTCTTCCACACAGACCCCAAGGAAGAGCCCCTCCCCGCTACTCCTGGGCCCGGTTCCCACTGCCCCACTGAGCTCCCAGCGTGCTTCCACGTCCCGGCCATTCCAAATGGAACCAGTGCGCACCGGAGGCCGGGGGTGCCCGGAGTGCGGGCATCATCCATCCCGGGTGCAGCGCTTCTCCGGAGTACACTGACACCTAGTGTCGGTCCCCAGCCCAGCCCGTGGCACAGGGCGCGGAGCTCACCTTGAGCAGTCGGATGTCGTTGTCCACCGTCCGAGGGTCGTAGAGGGGATGCGCGATGGATTCCTCGACGCCGAACTCCTGCTGGGACTCTTCGGGCTGCTCCAGGCTGTGCGCTCCCAGCACCACGCGGACGGAGGGGTTGCGCCTACGGGGGAGCTGTGAGGAGGGATGGGAAACCTCGCAGAGGGAGAGGGGACAGGGAGCTTGGGGAGAGAGCTGAGCAACGGGGTTTTGCTCCAGGGTGAGGATATCCATGTGAATGGGACCCGGGGGAAACGGCTCACCTGGGAACGGGGCAGTGGGCGGCTGTCATCACCCACCTGGGCCACACCAGGAAGCCCCCACAGAAGTGCTGCCCGTCCATCTGGATGGAGGCGACGAAGGGCCGCGAGTGTGGCACCACTGCCTTGCCCCCGATGACCCAACTGCTGTGAGCACCTGGTGGGTACAGGAGGTCACCAACCAGGGGGGGGGTTCAGACACCCAGCACTGCTCGTGAGCATAAAGTCCTCAGCATTGCTCCCAACCCTCCCAACTGCTGCCTTCCCATCACCTGTTGGACCCAGCGCAGAGACCCCCAGGCCTAGGATGAGCAGAGCAGGGAGCATGCTGATGCAGCATGGGCCACCACCACCTCCTGTGAGGCCACCTGAGGCTGGGGGGGGGGGTTAAATAACCCTGCAGGGTGGTGCTGTGGGCACAGCCGCTGTATGGGCACCGGCGGCTACCCCCCTGCTTCCTCCTCTCAGTATTGCTGCCTTGTGCAATCATTTTGGATGGAGATATGCAATCCTAAGGGGTGATGGGGGGTTTGGTTTTGCTGTCACAGAGCTGCGGGGGCAGCTTGGCCTGTGGCACTGCCCGGTAGCTTTTCCTTGGGTGGAGGAGATGTTGCTTGCTGGGAAAGAAGGAAGAGAGAAAGCAGAGCAGCTTCCCAGCCTGTGCCTGGTTGCTTTTACGCCTCGAGCAAACTGGGATGAAATCCCCCATGGCACAGAGGGTGCAAGTGAGAACAAAGCTCCACCATGGCCCAGAGACACCTTCCAGGATGTCCCCAGGGCTGACAGTGGCCTGGTGCTGCCTGCTGTGTTGCCTTTCATCCTCCATCAGCTGCTGCCCCTGCTCTGCATTCCCATGGGTACCAGCTTGAAGGGAGGGGGGTCAGAGAGCCGGGCTGCCCCTGCTACAGAGCTGGATTTAAGGAGCTCTTGTGCCAATGGTGGGCAGATTTCTTAATGCCACCTTGGTTTGCGACTTGCCCTGGGCTTCCTGTGTCAGTTTGCCAGTTTACCCAATGCAACCGTCATCAGGAAATGGAGGAGCCGACAGGGGAGCAAATAATCCAGGCATCCCTCTGCTGGGGGGGGGAGGAGTGCCTTTGGCACCCTCATGGCTTCGGGGACGCGTGTCAGGAGCAAAGCCTTCGGCACTCCTCCTGCCTCCGCCCTCCATCCCGGGGGGGGGGGGTTCGGGCAGCACCCGCGACCCCTGCATTGCCCCCCCCCCTATCGGGACCCCCGCACCCCTGTAAGCATCCTCGGGGCAGCCCGGGAGCGGCGGCCGCAACGAGAAGCGACGGGCGGAGAGCGCCGCGCCCCGGGGCCGGGTGAGGGGCGGTGGCAGTGGCGGACAGCGCCCGGCAGACGGAGCTGTGCGGGAGGCGGGAGCACCGGCGCGGCCCCGACATCCCTGCGCATCCCGCAGCCCCGCCGGGGATGCCGCCGCCCGCCGGGCCCTGAGCGCCGGGACGCCGGCGGCTGCCGGCCACGCTCCGCCACGCCTCGCCAGGCACGACCTAGAGGAATCAGCCTGGAAAATGGAGTGAGTACCGAAGCCGTTCCCCGCGGGACCCCCGCACCGGGCCTCGGGGCTCCCAGAGCTGCGCACCGCAGTGCCGAGGTGGGGGCGGCCCTCGGGTGCCGAGGTTCGGGACCCCCCCGGTTGGGCTGCGGGGACCCGTTGACGGAGGGTGGAGAAGTCGCTCGCATCGATTCGCATCGCCCCTCGGCGCGGGGATCCCGCACCCCACTCGTGCGGCTCGCATCCCCCCATGCTGCGGGTCGGGGCCCTCAATCACTGCGCGTCCCCGCACAGCGGGCTTGGAACCCGCACCGAGGGGCTGCGGAACCCCCGATGGCGATTGCTCAGACCCCCATAGAGCTCATAGAGCCCCCCCCGCCCCCCCAACCCCCCTCGGTTCCTGCCCTACTGCGGGGCGCCGAAGCGACCACCCGTGGTGCGTGGATGGAGGCCCCGAGCGGGTAGGAGAGCTGCGGGGCTGGAGCGTCTGCCGACAGCGGTGCGGGAGGCGGGGGGGGGGGGGGTTGCAACCATCATCGTGCTGGGGAGGAGACCCTCGGGAGCTGAGGAATGCTCCCTGACCTTCTTTGTGTGCTGCTGTGGGGCCCTGCCCTGCACGGTTGGAACCTGCAGGATTGGAGCTGAGGACGGGGCTCTGCAGCCCTTTGCTTCCCTTTGCTTCCCTCCAGCATCTCCTGGGTTTGGCACTGAGGTCTTTCCAGGGGAACCCATCCAGCCCAACCCAGGGGTCAGTGACTGTCTGCTCCTCGTGGGCACCTCGCCCTGATTAACCAGCTGCCTGCTAACGAAGCACTGAGTACTCAACAGGCTCAGACCATCTGCCATTTAGCCCCAGTTTGGGGGAGCCCCATAGGGGTGTTGGAGGGCTTGGGGTGCTTGTTTCCTCCTGTCAAGGCTGGGCTCTGGTTTACTATGCTCAGATAGGGAGCTGGGGGGTGGAAATGGGGTGGGGGTCAGCTCCCAGCCTGGTGACAGCATAGGTGACAGCTCTGCTCCTCTGTGCTGAGCCCCTCTGTCACTGGAGGCTGTAGGATCGACCCTACTGGCTGGTTGTCAGCAGGGGACGAGGAGTCCCCTTCAGTCCCCTTCAGAGCTGTGTTGGGGCTTTTGTTTGTGTGCTGGAAATACCAGATTGTTCCTTTTGGTGACTACAGACCCTACTGGGGAAACGTGCCCTGAAGGTGAGAGTGTGGGGCTGAGCAGCAAAGCAAAGCCAGTGCATGCACAGTTTCTGTTTGGGCAGCTTTGGTGCAGCCCCTTCTGGTCGTTCAGGTTTTGGCTCTCATGGAGATGAATCTTGAGATCTTGGGCTGGAAAACACGTGCAAAAGTTGGTGGTGGTTGAACTGCTGACGTGTTTTCCCTGGGTGTAAGGACAGACCTGCAGCCCCAGTGTTCCTGCACAGGGTTTCACCAAGGGTCTGGTTTGCTCTGCCAAATTCACACCCTTATCATTGGGATGGGAGCTTAGGAAAGTCCTGGGATCAGTGGAGCCCCATGGCCAAAGGCTCCCCAGGCACAGGCCTGGCTCTGTGGTTGTTGATGTGTGCTGGGAAGTGTTGTTCCTGGGGTTGGCTCTTGCTTTCCCCTGGCTTTGGCAGCAGCTGGAGGAGGGTGCTGGATACCAGGAGCTGCTGCTGCCAAAGGAGGTTTGGCTAAAAGCTTGTGGCTCTTACAAAAGGCTCTGCTGGTCCCATCAGGGCTGCTCTTGTGTCTTCTGCTCCTCCTGCTAGTGATGCTGTTGAGTAAGCTGGAGGTTTAGCATCTCCACTTCTGGCTGCTGACAGCTCCTGCTGATATCTTTGCACCTTGCTGTTTCTGCTCTCCTTGGGAGCCAGCCGCTCTCCTGTTCTGCCCTCTCCATCACTCCAGCTCTGAACAGGAGCCTCACAGAGGGGAAGAAGGGCTATTTCTGCCCTTAGGGTAACCTGGGACACTCCTTTGGGGTGGGGCGTCCTACACTCCCCTCCATGCTCCTCTGTTGAGATGCAAAACCCAGTGAAGCCCTGTTCCCAACGTCCTGGAGGAAGCCATAAAGCCTGGCTGCAGACAGCCACACAATGGCACCTGGGGAGCAGGGGCTCAGAGTTCAGCCCAGGAGTGCACGAGTTGGGGAAGGAACTGAAACAAGAGTGGGTTTCCTTGGGAAACTGCTGCTGGCATTCCTTGTTCCTGGCCAGAAATAGCCACTTGCCCCCATGCAGGGGAAAGGGAAAGGACGTGCACAAGGGATGGGGGCTGATGGAGGGCGGAAAGCTCAGGGCTGGAGGCAGAGGCGGGTTCAGGAAGCCTGAGCTGAGTCTGTATTTACTGCTTGCACCCGTCTGTGAGGCAGCAAACCCCTCAGGCCCCAGACAGAAGCCAGTCTCAGGGGATGAGGATGAGTCCTCAGCAGCCCTGGAGCTGCTGTCGGGGTGGGGAGCAATGCTGGCTGTGCTTTGGCAGGTGTTTCCTGGTGCAGAGGAGCTGGATGGAGGCTGGGAACAGGAGCAGAGCTCTAGGCTCAGTGTCCAGGCAGGACTCTGCACGTGAACCACGTCCCCATGTACTCCACAGAGCCTCGTGTGCCCTGGTGTTCATGGCAGCGTGGGCGCCTTGTAGGACCGAGGATGCAGCCACAGTGACCCCAGTGATGGCAGGACCTGAATTCCACGTCCCTGGGCTGGTGCTGGAGCTGCTGGGCTGCCGGCCTCAGTGGGTTGAGTGCTGCCAGGTGTGGGGAGCTCTGCTTCATTCATAAATCGTGTGGGTGTTTCCTCGTGGAGCCTTGCTCCTCTGGCTGGAAGGGAGCTGGAAACCCAAGCGTTTGGAGGGCACTTGAACCATTGTTTGAAAGATCTGTAATTTTCCAATCAAACTCCCTCCTTGAGCCTCTGTTCATCAAATATTCAGAGGATCCATTTTCTCCTGGCACTTCCAGCCCACGTCTCAGCCTGAAGAATCAATCAGGCAGCTCTGCTTGTTCTAATGCATCCTGCATTTTTTTCAGGAGCCTGGGGCTGCCATCTCCTCCTCCCACCTCATCTCCTCCCAAAGCAGCCACTCAGGATGGGGCTGTGCAGGCAGTGGAGCTGGTGTGGCTCAAAGCAAGCAGCTGGGGGCCCTGGCATCCCCTTTCTGCTGCTTGCTCCCAAGCAAAGCTTTATCCATTCCCTCCTGACCTGCTGGGAGGGATTTGCCTTTGCTGTCGTTCATTGCTGGACTTGGGCTGTCCCTCTGATCTGCACCCCGCTGTGAGCAGCAGCACATCAGGGCAGGGGTTGTAGTTTCCCAGCAGCAGCAGCACTCTGGACCCAGTTTCTCTGGGGTCTGGCTTTTGGCACAGGAACAGCAGTGTAAATCAGTGCTGCTCCATCTATTGCCACCCGTGCTGCCACCAGCTGTACTGGGGCCCATCTTCCCAGAGCTGCAGGATGGAGTTTGGCTTGGAATGAGCCCTCTCCCTTCCTTCTCTTCTGTCTCGGAGCTGAGCTGGTGGGAATGGAGCAGAGGTCGGGGGGTGGAGGAGCAGCTTGAAACGGCTCTTCACACATTTGGATGAGCTAATGGGAAAAAAATAGAGGAAGGCAAATAAACATTATTGTTTCATGTCAGGCGGGGAGGAGACAAAAGGTCATGGGCTTCCCTTGTGATGGGAGGAAACAGCGGCATCAGCAGGGCTGGAAAGAGCTGGAGAGCCCAGGGAGGGAGCACGGGGTGTGCATGGGGTGCGTGTGCGCCCACATGTGGGTGTGCAGCTCCATCCAAGGGCTGCTGCTGCAGGTGTGAGTTCCTGGGGCTCGATCCCTCCTGCATCCCGTCGACCTCACCTCTCTGCCACAGCCACGCAGAGCATCAACAGCTTGAGGAGCTGCCCTGGGATCGGCGGAGCTGAGACCTGAATGCACCGGGCAGAAAAGCATGAATCTGTTTGCAGGAGCTCAAGAGACCCGGTGAAATTATAATGGAGGGAGAGGAGGGGAGAGGGGGATCCTTTTTTTGGTGTTTTTTTTTTTTCTGCCCTTGTGATTCACGAGGAGGACGGTAACCGTGCACCCGGGGTCACCTTTCCAACCCTTCGTAGTGTCCCGGCGTAACGTGGAGCTCACGCCGGCGTGGCTGCCGTCTCCCGGAAGCTTTACAGGTTCCGAATCCCGGCCCGGCTCCGTCCCGCGGTCGGAGCGCAGCGCAGCGCATCGCGCATCCCCCGGCCGGGTGCCGTCTCTCCCGCGTTGCCATGGCGCTGTTGCCATGGTGACGTTGCCATGGTGACGTTGCCAGGGCAGCCGCCTCCCGACTCCGTGCATCCGCCGGGCCGGCCGTGAGCTGCGGGAGGGGAACGGAGGGAGGTGCGGCCACTCCGAGCCTCTCGGGCTTCATCCGAGTGTGGGTTCCCACCTCGAAACCCACCCTGAGGCTCTGATCAGCCCCCAGCCCTCATCGGAGCGTGCTGGCTGTAGGATTCCTTCCATCCTCCCGTCTCTTCACCCCATCCCCATGTGCACCAGGCTCGGGCTCTGCCCCTTTTCTGTCTCTCAGGGTGATGGAGAGGAGCCCCGGGTTGGGTGCGTGGGGTCTGGTGCTGATACGGTGCAGTGAGGGGCATCCAGCCTGTTTTGTGTCTTTCCCTGGGCCAGGAAGATTTCTGGCTTTCACCCCGGGAATGCAGAAACTTTAGCAAAATAATGGAAAATAAAGAGGATGGAGGAAGAAAAGCAGAACAGAACGTTTCAGGAACGCTGAAAAAGCTTGGATCAGTTGAACAGTGCGAGATCCAGGAGAGAAAGAGGCTTCGTTCCAAAGCCCTCTGAGTCTGGGGTGTGAAAAGCTGGGCTCAGAAGGCACCCCTGGCCCTGGAACTGGTGGATGCCCTGGTGTGGGGCACCCCGAGGCCATGGGCTGCTGCCAGTGTTGTCCCACAGCCCCCATAGTGTGGGGAAGGGCGATGGGGAGCCGGCGATTTCCTCCCTGCAACCTCTGTGCGCAGCGTCTGCACGGAGCCATCCCAGCTGCCTGAGCCCAGGGGTTACTTGAAGTCCTGGATCTCACTCTTGGAGGGGGAAGGGGAATGTTTCACCTCCTGGGCTGCTGCCTGTGGCAGGGTTAGAGCTGTGACGTGGGTGTTACAGGGCTTGGGGATTGCTGCTGCCTGCCTGCTCCGCAGCGCCGACATCTCCCTGCTCAGGGCGTCTTGTTTTGTCATCAGTTCGTCACAACTCCATCTCCAAGTTTTGCAATTTGAAACCAATGCTGTTGTCCTGCTGGCTTGGTGCAGGTGCAGGGCAGAGCCAGTGCAGCCCGGGTGAGGAGCAGCACACGGAGCACGGATGGGGCTCACAGAGGTTCCAGTGGGCGCAGCATTGGGATGGCAGTGGGGCTGCTGATGGCACGTGTGCTCCAAGCGTCACAGCCTCACCTCAAACTGCCCCAGAATAACTGCTAAAAACGCAGCACCTTTTCCCATCATGTTTGTTTGCTCTCAGTTTCATTCTCTGCCAAGAACTCTGCATGCACAGCACACGTGGGCAGCCCCGGTGCCGGGCTGGAGCTGAGCCATGAGCATAGAGGTGGTGGTGGTGGGTGGAGGTGACCGTGGGGCGTCACTTTTCCATCAGGAAACATCCCTGTTGTTTTTGTGGGGCTTTCTGGAAAGCAGCAATCGTTTGCACGCTGTGAAAATGTTTTGCTTGGGGTTGGGAAGGAGGGAAACAACCTCAGCACAGCACCGTCTGAGGGGGGGGTTGGAGAGGGATGCGTTGATGGTTACCGGGGGGCGCCCTGGGCTCTGGGTGCTGTGCTGGGCCCCTCTGAGCTCACAGCCTGAGCTGCTGGCGCTGGCTCCTCACCAATGGCTTTCCCTGCTGCGTGCTGTAGACACAGCGCTGCCATCCCTCCCTGTCCCCATTGACCCCAGTTGAACTGGGAATGCTTCAGGTCACCAAAGCCGGCAGCCCTGAGCTGCAGCCGCCGTAGGGCAGGGTTGCCTGCTCTGCCTTTAATTGAAGCATTGCAAAGCCCTTGGGCCCAGCTGGGTGTGTGCAGGACAGGACCTGCAGGCAGTGTGTCCTGCTGTCCTCCCAGCCTCGGTCACCTGGCTCCAATGCTCTCAGCCAGGGCAGAAATTCCTGGGAGGTGCGAAAATGGATCCGCGCTTCATCACCGCTGGTGGGAATTAAACCAAGAGCTCTCCCTGCCACCTCCTTCTGCTCAGCATCATCTGCTGGAGCAGCTTCAGGGGTTGGGGCTGGAGCTCCTTGCTGGGTCGTGCGGCCTCTGCGACTGCGGTGCCCACACTCCACGTGCTCAGGGGCCCCAGAGCTCACCCCGCTTTCTCCAAAACCCCATTCCATGCACCCAGGCTCTGGGAAATGAATGGCAACCAAGCCATCGCCTCACAACACCTCTGAGCCTCCTGCCCCAATTACCGCCGCGGCTAATTGCTTCGTTAGCATCACCTGGCACTCAGCCAGCCTGCTCCCCTCCCATCAAAGCCTCCCCACGTCCCCCCCAGGCAGGTGCCTGCAGTTGCAGCTGGTGCTGGGCAGCACAGCTGGGCCACGCGCGTGTGATCTGTGCGTCTGTGTGTGCAAACGTCTGTGCGCACAGCCTGGAAAGGTCACCGTGCAGGAAAGGTGTCAGCAGCCAAGGAATAGGCTTGAAATGGAAAGTGTGAGCCAGAATAGTGGAAGCAGCCAGAAGCAGTGCTCCTCTCCAACCCTTCTGTCGTGGGTTGTCAGCAGCGCTTGGCCCCAGAGGAAAAAGGAGCACAAAGAGGATCGGGGTGCCAGGAGGAGATGCGTTGGGGCAGCGCTCAGCTTCAGTGCAGCAGAGGGAAGGAGAGGAAGCAGAAGGGAAGAGCCTGGCCTTTGTCTGTGCGCGCTGTCTGGCTCCACAATGTCCCCATTCACACGGCTGCACTCCCCACATCTCTCTGTGTGGGCGACTGCTCTTCACAGCTTCTCTCTGCTCTCTTGCAGGGCTGTGGAGGCCAACACGCTTCAGCAGGAGAGGCTGCAGGCCATCGCGGTGAGTCCCCTCTGGGTGAGAGGGTGGCACCAACACAGCGATGCCTGCGATGCCCTCAGCCCAGTGGCAGCTCCTCCAGGGCTCGGTTCTGCACCCAGGGACCGAGGGCACAACTGGCAGCCGGGTTAATTAATGAAGCAGTGCCTTAATGAGCCCTGAGCAGGAAGGAAATGAGCGTGAGGGTCTCCCATGCCCTCTCCCAAGGGCTGAGTGATGTGTGTGAGGCAGCTCTGCAGGGGATGGGTGCTCTGCAGCAGCTCCCCTGCTGCCCCATAGCAGCTCCCTTGCTCTCTATAGCAGCTCCCCTGCTGCCAGCTCCCAGCCCCACGCGCTATCGGCCGATCTGTGCCTCACAAAGGGCAAATTGTTCTGGGCCAGAAGAGAAAAAGAGCGGGTGACGCTTCCCTGGACTGGGACAGACTCTGCTAAAGCAATCTGGACCGAAACCAGGATGTGCAGCAGAGGGGGGGGGGGGGGGGGGAAGGGACTGCCTAGGGCTGTTTTCCCCTCACTGCCTGGCTCACACTTAGCAGGGCCAGCCTGGGGGAAGGTGACATTTAGAGGCAGGGGACAGCCGGTGCTCTGCACCCTCTCTGCTCCCGGAGCTGCTGGGATGGAGGTTTCCCCCCAGCAGTTTCCAGTGCTGCCCCATCCCTGCACTGACCCCGGCTCTGTGTCCATCCAGGAGAAGCGAAAACGTCAGACAGAGATTGAGAACAAAAGGAGGCAGCTGGAAGATGACCGGCGGCAGCTGCAGCATCTCAAGGTGAGGATGACCCCCCCCCCCCCAGGGATCCCAGTGTGTTCCAGGGATGCCTTGGGACCCGCAAAAAGGAGGGTGGTGAGACTGTGACCCTCTGTGCTCCCCCAGTCCAAGGCTCTGCGGGAGAGATGGCTGCTGGAGGGAGCCCTGTCCTCTGCCTCCGAGGAGGATGAGGCGATGAAGAAGCAGATGCAGGAGGATGAGGTGAAGACCAAGGAGCTGGAGGAAACCATCCAGAGGTAAAACAGGCTTTGCGGGCTGCCCAGCAGCACTGCAGGGCTGGCTCAGGCACGAAGGGGCCTTTGTTTTGGTGTAATGGTGCAGTGCATTCCTGTGGGCTCGGAGGGAAAAGAGCATTTTGCGAGGTGACGTGAAGCAAAGGGAGGGAACAGCGTGGACAGAGGTGCACTGATTCACGTGGGCTTCAAGCTGCAGAGTCCCTGCTGTGTCCCTGTGGGGCCACGTGGCTCTTGGTTGGGCTCGATGGTCAGGAATGGACTCTTGTTTTGCCTGGGAAATTTGTACATTAATGAATCTGGGCACAAAACCTGAGTGAAGTAACATTACCCCTTGCCACCAGTTGTTGGCACTGTGTGTGATGGGTTGGGCTTCGTCACTACGCGGATTTGGCCGCAGCAAAGTCAGGTCCTACAGATGCAGGTCTGGTCCAGAGCTGTTCCAACCAGTGCACATTGTGCCCCTGGAAAGAGATGCTGAAGGCTGTGATGGGGATGTGTCCAGCTGAAGGGCTGCTGTGCAGCAGGGGCTGCATTGCCTACATGGAAACAGGGACATGGAGAGAGAAAGCAGAGAGCCTGATGGGGCACAGAGTTGTCTTGTGCCTTCCCTACAGTTGCTGCCAGCACTGATTCTGGTCCCCAGTTTGGAGCTGGGCAGGACTGGTCTCCCCGCAGAGCCCCTGCATGGCCACGCTGGCAGGGCTGCAGCAGATGGAGGGTTTATGTGCAGGATGGAACTTGGCTGGGTTTGGTTTTGTTTTCGAGGTGGCAGCAGGTCTGGTTGTTTTGGCACAGGTTGGTGAGAGGGGTGAATCCCATGAGGTTCAGAGCCCAGGGTGGGAGATGGAGCTGGAATCCTCATCCTGACAGCACTATGCTGAGCTGTTCCAAGGCTCTGTGTGTTCTCAGTAACACAAACCAAGAGCTGGGGACTGCAGCTGAGCCCTGCAGGTCTGCTGTGGTCCCAGCACAGCCTCACATCCCCTGGTTTTCCCCCAGGCTGGAGAGGGAGTTGGAGTCACTGGAGAACAGCAGCTCTGCTACATCCACCAAGGAGAACCTGGCTGAAGTGGTGGCACCAACAAAGGAGGAGAAGGCAGAGAACATCCCCAGCGTGCAGAAGGTGGGCACAGCTGCTCCCCCGCAGGATCTGGATGGGAGGGGGCGAAGCAGGGCAGGGGTTGGGGCTGGGTGTGCAGAACGGTGAATGCGTGGTGCATCCACAGCTCGTGTCATCTCTCTTCTGTTTTGCAGAGTCCCCTGGGCACAGCCATAGGTAGGTGACCCTGGATGCTGAATTGGTGGCTTTTTCCTCTCCTGGGGCAGCAGGAACCTCGTGCTGGGTTGGGAGTGGGCACCAGCAGGCCAGGGCAGGGGAGCAGGGCGGCCTCATCCCCACATCCACATCCCAATGTCCCCATCTCAACCCATCCCCACATCTCCATCTCCACATCTCCATCTCCCCATGATGTCTTGTGGCTGGGGAACCCCATCCAGGTGGTAACCATGGAAGAGGCCCCATCCACCCCAGTGCCCATCCCAGGGTGCGTGGAGCACAAGGATAGCTGGGCATCATTTCACCTAAGTCTGCCACTTCTCCTCTCCATCCCCAGCTGAGAAGAAAGTCTCCAGCAGCCCCATGAAGGCGGTGCAAGGCACTGACATGATGAAGGCAGGTACGTGCCCACTTCCACGTGAGGACTGCTCCCTCCTCCCGCCCTGCAGCACCTCTCAGCTCTCTGCCTTCCATGCACAGCCCACCCTCTGCCACCAACGATCCCCACCGCTCGATGAGTTTCCGAGCCTGGGGCAGAGGATGTCATTTATTTGCCATCAGATGGTTCATTTTTGCTGGAAGCCTGCGGCTGGTTCGCTGATCGGGGTCCCCACTCTTCTCCTTCTGTTCCATGTCACTGCTCTGGTTTAATCCTTTCCTCCTGCTCTGTTTGCTGCTTCTCGGTGCGAGGGAGCAGAGCGATGTGGGGCCAGGGCTGGGGGGGGCTGCCTGAGCTTGGCAATGGGAGCAGTTGGGGCCACAGGGCTGCAGCCAGCTCTGCTCCTGGAGCGGTTTGCTCAGATCTGCCGATGGCTCAGACAAGAAATAATTCAGCTTTGGATCTTTGGAACAAAGCATCACCAAGATGAGGTGACAATGGGGACAGGCAGGATGCCCAGGAACGGCCGTCCCATGAAGCGCAGTGCTCAAACCTCAGTGCTGCATCCCACCAGCACGAGCCTGGCTCCACACTCAGGCCGGACAGACAGACGGACACGGTGGCCACCTGCCTTAATGCCCCCTGGAGCAAAGGTGGGTGCCGGCCTGGGGAAGGCAGCACCTGTGGAGGTAAGGGGATGCCAGCAGCTCCAGGACGGTGATGGCCTCGTGGGTCCCCATAGGAGGGCCATACCTGGGATGTCACATCTGCCTCTGCCTTCACTCCTCCTCGCTGCAGCCTGCTGCCTTGCTACCTCTGCTGAGCACTGCACCGCACCGCTGCGCCCACCCGCTGCTGCTCGGGAGCTCTGGGGCTGTAATGCTCACTGTGCTCTTTGTGTCCCAGCCATGTACTCAGTGGAGATCACGGTGGAGAAGGACAGAGTGACTGGGGAGACCAAAGTCCTGTCCAGCACCACGCTTCTCCCCCAGAACCACTGTGTGCAAGGGATCAAAGTATACGAGGATGAGCTAAAAGGTACGGCCCCGTCCTGCACCTCCAGCAGGATTCAGGAGCAGAGGGAAGGGGATGAGGGACCAGCTGCCGAGCATCCCAATGGGCAGCAGGGTGAGGAAGGGCTGGAGCAGCTCCTGCTGTCCTTGCTGGCTCTGTAGGGCAACGTCCTGTGCCCCATCTCACATGGTGTGGAGCCCATCCGTCCCAGGGGCAGCACATCGGTCTGTGCTGCTGGAGAGCAGAGGATTCATCGCATCTGAAGACCTAGGAGTGCATTCCAGCAGCAAGGGAAGGGGCATCAGCACTGTGTTATCCTGCTGTCATGGGCACCTCCGTCTGGGGAAGGGGCCAGGGCCGAGCTGTTGGGGCTCCCCATGGACCCACGGTGCTCAGGTTGGCAGCAGGGATCCTGTCCCCAGGGTGAGGAGAAGACGCAGCTTTAGGGGAGAGAACACAGCTTTAGGGAGCGGTGCCTGCTCTGGGGAACCTGCTCAGATGGGGCTGGTGGAACCAAGGGGCAGCTGTGTCAGCAGTGAGGACCGACATCAGAGCTGAGGAACGTGTCCAGGTGCTGTGCAAACCCTGGGATCCATGGACTGAGTGCATCCCGAAGTGAGTGGCAAAGCACCACAGTCAGCCCTGCTCCGCAGCACCTGATGCACCTCCATCACCTTCATCACCTTCATCAGCAAAGTGAGACCCTGCACTGCCCGGGGTCCCGGCATCCCCCAATCCCAGGTGTCAACTCAGCATTGAGCAGCCTCAGAGGGCAACCCCAGCTGTGCCACATCCTCCTGGTTATTATCTACTGCTCCACCGAGTGGGTTCTGCAGCTACTGCACTGCTCATCACATGATGCTCCAGGTCAAGTGGAAAACGTGACGGGCTGGGTGCATCCCTCACCGTGGCCTCGTAGCGCTGTGAGCGCCCAGCAGCACAGGACTCTGTCCCCCCATGGGCACTGGGATGCACTGCAGCCGGGTGCTCAGCTGGGGGTTGGCAGTGGTGGTGGTGGTGATGTGCTGCAGGGCGCTGCCACAGCCCTTACGCTGCAGCACCGCTGGGTTTTGAAGCTCCACAGGCACTGAGGGCTGGGAGCAGCTCCTCAGGCAGTGCTGAGGCGTCGGGCAGGGGCTGGGGGTGGTGGGGGGAAGCCCCAAGCGCCCCTCCTGCTGTCCCCCCCTCACCATCCTTCTCTTGTCCCCACAGTGGTGCACGCGGTGAGTGCTGAAGACGGAGCTCTGCAGAACGGGGCGCAGCCGCTCAGCTCCTCCGAGGTGGATGAACTCCTGCACAAGGCAGATGAGGTGACCCTGGGTGAGGCCACGGCGAGCGGGGAGGCTCCAGGCAGTGCCACATCCAGCCAGAAGGCAACGCCACGGAGGGAGATCACGGGGCTGCAGGCGAAGCCAAGGGAAAACTCCACAGAGGGAGCGGAGCCGAGCCGGGAGCAGCCGGTCACCATGATCTTCATGGGCTACCAGAACGTGGAGGATGAGAACGAGACCAAGAAAGTGCTGGGGTTGGAGGGTACCATCAAAGCCGAGCTGGTGGTGATCGAGGACGCCGAGAGCAAGCCAGAGCCGGAGAGCAAGGACCACGCACCGCCCAACGGCACCGCGCTGGAGCCGGCGGCCGCCCCGCTGCAAGGGGACGAAGTGCAAGGCGGGCAGAAACCGGACACCAACGCCACGGAAGCCAAGGAGGCTGAGCCAGACATGGACGCGAAGAAGCAGCGCTGCAAATGCTGCACGGTGATGTGAACCCCCCCCGGCCCCCGGGGGGGCCCCCCCAGCCCGCTCCCCGCAGGACACAGGGTTACTGACCGGACACGGCGCCCTTCTTGTTTTTCATAAGAACTGGGGAAATCCAACGCGGTGTTTGGAAAGCGTTCACCAAACGGCAGCGCATCGAGGGCCACGGCTCTGCTCCGCCTGCCTGACACCCACTCCGTGCACATCCCTCCAGTGCTGCGTGTGATATTTATTAGAGACCCCCCCCCCTTCCCCTTCCCCACACCCCGCCGCCCCTTCCCCACAGCTCTGCCCACCCTGGGCGCTCTCCTGCTGGGACGCCCGGGAGCCTTTCCTCCTTCTTCCAACTATTTCCCATCCACCATCGGAAGACGGCGGCAGCCAGGAGGGCCCGTGCCCAACCAGCCCTGCGTGGCAGCTCTCATCACTTCTGGCACCTCGTTTCTTCAGCCCAGCTCTATGCTGTTGTCTGCGTTGTGATGCTGGGCCAAGGACCGGGCACGGCTCCCCCGGCGCTGGCACCAGCCTGGACCCAGCTGTGCTCTCCTGAAGATCCCTGCCTCGATCACACAGACACCATCAGGTACCGATGTCACCGCTGCTCCATGGCCGTTCCTCCATCTCGGTGTTGGATGCTCAGCTGTGTCTGGGTGCCCACTGCCCACCCAGGGGCACGGGGTTGGCAGTGAGAGGTGGGGCAGCTGCAGATCCCAGCCCACAGGGATGGGAGCTGGACTTTGCCCGCAGCGCTCGACAGCAGTGGGACGTGGCTCAGCACCGTGTGCCCTCTTGCCATGGCTGAAGCTGCCCTGGCAGCTTTGCAGAGCTCATTTTTCTAGCACTTCTGTCAGATCCCCAGCTCAGCTCGCTCTGGGCTTTTTGTGGTGCCCCCAGGTGCTGTCTCTGTGCCGGTGGTGCAGTGAAGGATGGGGTCACAGCTCTGTGGCAGCTGCTCTGCTCCCTGCCCTGCGCCCCAGCCGCCAGCGGGGATCTCACTACCAGCACCAGCGTTTCCTCCCCACTGTGACCTGCTGGGGCAGGAGGAAGGGGGGGGGGGGGGGTCTCTGTGGGTGCTGAGCCTCGTCCAACCCTTGGGTGCTGCCCTCAGCCTCCCCAGGACAGCCCCATTACCGGCCCTAGGATGAGGTGCTTGCTGCATCCCATGCTCCACCAGCTATTGATGGGCACAAGGCTGTGCTCTGAGCTGTCCCCACATCCCTGAGTTCTGGCCAAAAGCCTCTAGGAGAGGTGGAACCCCATGGGGTCAAGAGCAGAGCCTCTGCAGCCTGCTGTGGGAGCCACCAGCAGGGACACAGCCCTGCAGTTCCAGCACTTAGGCATGGGGTGCTGGGGAGATCTGCCCCACTCATCCCTGGGGATCCAGGCCCCCAGCGGGGCTGCACGTCACCTCCTTCCACCCCTTCCCTGGGTGCTGACCCCAACTTAGGGCCTCCTCCCACCCTCAGCACCCACTGCTCCTCAGTCTCCCTTGGGCCCAGCACCGACCCCAGGCAGGAGCAGAACCGGGCCCTGCAGGGCTGGGGCTGGGGGGCAGCAGCAGTGAGGACCCAGCCGTGCCCCAGCCCCAGCCTGCAGAGCCTCACACCATCCCTCCCCCCCAGCTCAGCTGAAGTGCACTTCCTGCGCTCCCATGCTTTTTACCTGTGATGAAGCCGTTTGAAGTTTCCCTTCCTCCCCACCCCCCCACCCCCCCCGTTGTTTGTAAGACACCTGAACCAAGCAAATAAACTGTGTGAATAACCAGCCCGCTGTCTCTGCCTCTGACTGGGGAGCAAGCCGACCGGAGCACCTCCAGCTGTGCTCAGCATCTGGGCATGGGGGGGTTGAAGGGGCTGGGCTGGGGGTTGGGATGCTGGATTGGTGATGATGGGGATGATGGGGGTGGGATGTGCCATTCCCACAAAGTGCCACGGATTAGATCCATCAGCAGGCTATGCAGCACGTCTGGCCCTGTCTCCCCACTCCCCCTGTGCAGCTCTTCCCTCAGCTCAGCACACTGCAGGCTCGGTGAAGCTGTGTTGGGTGGTCAGAGCTGTGAGCAGGGCTGTGGGACATCCCTACCTGTCCTCACACTGGCACCAAGTGCCCCATGCACCCAAAGTGCAGCGGCTGAGCCTGCCTGTGGTGGAGGCAGAGCTGCAGTCGGCCGGGCTGCTGCAGGATGCAACCCCTTGCTCCCTCCCCTCCTGTCAGCTGGGCACAGAGCCTTCACTCCCTGCATCCCCTGCCACTGCCACGGAGGTGGCTGTTCCCAGAACCACAGCAGCACGGAGGAGTGAAGATGTTTAAGCACTCCTCACCACGGCAGGTCCTCTGTGCCACTCTGGAGCCCAGGGTGGAGGTGAGGGTAGGGGCTCTGGTTGTCCTCTCTCCATTCCCAGCCAGCTGCCAGGGGGAGTGGGGAGGAAGAGGAGGATGGACGGGCTGTGGAATGCTGGGAGGGGAGCGATGCTGGCGTGATGCTGCGTGCACAGTGATGGGGATGTGGCAGTCGGGGACCTGTTATCCCAAGGGAACAGTGCTGGGGTACAGACCTCAGGGGATCACCACTGTGTGGCTACACCTCTCCGCCCATCTCTGCACTGGTGGGGGTCCCACGGATCTCACTCCACCCAGGGGGCAGCATTGGCATCAGGTCATGCCCGGGATCCCAGGGCATATTTGGGACCCTTGCCCAGTTGAACCCGCTGGCAGAGCTGCCCCAGGGCTGTGCACACACGGCTGTGCCCACTGCAGGGTGTGGTGCTCCGCGGCCGCTGGCGTGGACTTTGTCTCAGCCCCACAGTAAAACAGGCATTGCTTTCCCTCCCGGAAACACAGAGCTGCAGGTCGCCGTGCCACCGACACCGTCTGCGTGGTAAGGGGGTGCTGGGCTGCTCCCATGGGAGCTGTGGGGTGGTATGGGGCTGGATGGGGTAAATGGGATTTCCAAGTGCTCCACAGCCAGGACCAGTAGAGTATGGCACTGCTGCTCCTCTTGGGCCCAAAGCAGCAGGCAGGGAGGGATGGGCTGCGTGGGATGGGTGGGATCTGTTCGGTGAGAATAAGGCTGGGGCAGTCAGGATGGGGATGGGGATGTCCTGCCCCAAAGAGAACAGCAGAGCACAGAGTGGCATTTCCTAGGGTCAGCCACGATGCCTGGCGCAAGGCTGGGTGCTGGTGCTGGGAGCTGGGCTCAGGACAGAGCTGATGGTGACAGTGCTGCTCTGCTGGGCCCAAGGGCACTGAGATCACCACAGCCACTGCACTGCAATCCCGTCCTCAGCCTTTGGATGCGAAGGCCCCGTGTTCCTGTATTCACACAGGGTGGCTCCCTGCTGGCAGGGGATGTGGTTCCCAGGAAAGAAGAGGGAGGGGGGGGTGAGGGGGGAGCTGATGACAGGACCAGGAGCACCGAGGCTGCCATGCCAATGCCAGCGCCTGCCCAGCCCCACCTGTGCAAACATGGGGTTATCAGGCAGCTGGCACGGTGAGCACCGAGCTAGGAGAGGCCCCAGGGTGTAAACAGGAGAGTGAGAGCTGCCTGTGTGTTTGCTCTGCCTGTGGGCAGCAAGATGTTGGTGGCACAGCGGCCGCGTCCCCATGGCACCACCCTGCCTCGGGGGAGCAGCTCGAGATTCACCTGAGCCAACCACAGAGCCAGGGCGCGTGGCTGGAGCAGAGGAGCTGTAACTCCACCTCTTGTTGGGGCTTTTGTAGCTGCAGGAAGGCAGATGGTGCCCGGAGGAAGGGGTGCAGGAGCATCAGCCCTGCATTGGTGCAGCGGCGCAGTTGAGCACTGGTGCAGCAGCGCGTGGTCGGTGCATGAATGCGCACTGCTGCATTGGTGCATCAGCCATCAGAGCTGTGATCCAAGCGGCTCTGCAGGCGTGGGAGCTCCTGCACAGGGCTGTGGGTGGCGTGGGGGGTTGGGAACAGGAGACTGAACAGAGGCCAGCGATGAGCCCAGCTGAATTCTTGGAATTCCTCCACCGGGGCTGGCTGAGCTTATCAGGGCCACGCAGCACCCGCACCACTGAGCCACTCCCCAAAGCACACAGCCCAGCTGGGCACCCTCCACAGCCAGCCCAGGGCATGGGACCCCCACACCAATGGCTCCAGGACTGTAAGTGCAGCGCGGCGGGGCAGGAGAGAGGGCTGAGGGCAGGGGTGGGCACAGGAGGTGTGTGTGCACCCCAACCCTACGTGTGGTGCAGGTGCAGGGCTGACTGCGGCACCCCAGCTGGCTCCCGTGTGTCTCAGCACAGCAGCAGGGCTGGGAGCAGGAGCACCCATACGCATGGGATGCGTGGATGTTTTGGTACGATGCATGCCAGGGTCAGGCCAGCTGGGTGTTACTGTGTCACCCTCAGTGAGGACTTTCTTCCCTTCCTGGTGTGATAAGGTGTGGGCAGGCAGTGAGTTTTCATTACCTGGTTCACCACACGGGCTGTAAAACAGCAATAACGAATTACAGGCAGGGAATTAACGAGGTTACAGGAATTTAGCCGAGGCACAGAGCAGCCAGGAGAGACCTTTCCCAGCAGAGCCGGGTTTGCACAGCACCTCTGATGCCCCAACTGCTCCTGTTGGCATCAGTGCTGCCCATCCCCAGGTTCTGCCCATCCTGAAAGGGGCAGAAATACCTCAGCAGGGCAGGGGGGTGGAATGCAGCACCTTGCAGCACTGCACTGCAAAGGCATGCAGCGAGCAGAGGGCACGAGGTGCTGCTCACCCAGCTCCTGCTGGGTTTCTGTGTCCCCCAGCACAGGGCTGGGCAGGCACTGCATACTGCATGGCATGCTGCATTGTGTGCTTCATTGAGTGCTGCAGGGCTGGGACCCATCTGTGCCACCCTGCCCTGCCCTGGCAGCTGCTTTCTCATCCAGCCTCAGCCCAGTCAGTAGCAGCAGGATCAGTGCCAAGGTCAGGGTAGATGTTTACTCCTTTGTGTGACACATGGGTTAAAGTCTCCTATTTTTATGAGCCCTGAAACCATTTTTGTTATCTTTACTGTTTCAACGACTGCAGTTATTTGGAGTTTCCTTTCTGTAAACGGACAAGAAATTCCCAGGACGGTGTTGTCAGCACCCATCCCAGCCGTGAGGCCACGTACCCAACGGTACCCATGGCAGCCCATGGTTGAGGGCAGGGTGTGGGTGTTGGAAGCTCCCTTTGCAAACGACCGCTGCCCAAAAACTGCCATTTGTAGGTCAATGGAGCAAAAGAGTTTTACAACATCGTTGTTTCATGTGATGGCGTCTGCCTTCGGGCGTTGCTCATAGGAGTGACGCTGCGGGTGAGGATGTTCTGAGTCAGGGGGAGCTGTGCTGCTCCCTGAGCCCCACCTGATGTTTCTTCCACCCGCAGGGCCAGCAGGATTTCACTTTGCACTCCGGACACCCCCAGGTGAGCGCAGAGCCCACGCAGCACCAGGAAGAGCTCAGCAAAGCGTTGGATGCTGACAGCGGCCGCGCGATGGACAGGGTCACCCGGCACATGGTCTTCCAGTTCCCGCACACACGCGACCACAACGATGCATCCATGGATGGAGACGATGATATATTTGACTACAGCAGCCAGAAGGAGAACGGCTACGAGCAGAAAAGCAGGCTGAAGTCACCTTCGTATTTCCTGGAGACTGGGAAGGATGTGTGGAACCCATCCCCAGACAGGGAGTCCCAGCTGGAGGTGGTGCGGTCAGGGAACCTGTATGACCTGAGGGCTTACAGGGGGGAGAGGAAGCCCTCCAAGCTGTACGAGGATGATGAGCCGGACCCATATAGGCTGCAACCCCCAAACATCTCCCCCGAAAAAGCAAAGGAGCTGGAGGACAAGAGGAGGGAGGTGATCCGGGGCCAAGTGGTGCGGAAGAGCTCCACTATGGCTGAGAAGTGGAGCTCCGCGGATGAGCTGAGCTCCGTCACCGCAGGTGGGCAAAGCCACGGCGTCCCCGGTGCCTTTGCCATCCACTTTGATAAGCCCTCCCCGGGTCGGGCTGTGACAACCGTGGACCCGGAGAGCATCGACAGGGAGCAGATCAACTTCTCGGCTGCACGGCAGCAGTTCCTCATGCTGGAGAAGAGCAGCCCTGGTGCTTTGTTCAGCCCAGGGTACGTCACGTCCCCAAGGCCGGAGGTGACGGTCAGAACCTCCAGGCAGGAGTGGCACAGCCCTGACACCACCACGAGGGCTGAGAGGGGCTGTGGTGACAACACAGAGCCCACACAGGGCAGGATGGACCAGAGCATCTACACGGTGTACAGCGTGCAGCACCAGGCCTCGGGGAAGGAGGATGGCTATGCCCGTGGGAAGGGTAACACCAACGTGTCACATCCCACAGGGAAAGCACTTGGCCTGGCCAGAGCATCGTCCAGGGACGACCTGGACTCGGGGCTGGGGGAGATGTACAGTGCTGAATACAGCAGCAATGGCAGCGATGTCCCAAATGGCCTCGGGGATGTAAAGGATGATGCTAGGGGTTCAGAGGAGGGCAGCGGTGAGACGCCCATCGAGAGGGAGATCCGGCGGGCAATGGAGAGGGAGGAGAGCCTATGGAAGGAGCGGGGCATGCAGAGGCTGACGTCCAGCAGCGAGCTGGTGGAGATCCAGACCAAACCACTGCTGTCCCTGAACGCGGCCCCAGCTCAGGGAAGGAAAGGGAAGGACAAAGGCCGCGCATCCTTTAACGTCCAGAAGGAAATAGAAAAGGAAACAAAACGTGAGGAAGACCTGCGGAGGCAGGGCAGGCTGCCGGGGCTCTACGACCGCGGCACGTCGCAGGAGCTGGGCGAGCTGCGGAGGGTTTTCGAGCAGGAGGAGCAGCCGCCGTCCTCCAGCCGCTGGGTGACCGAGCGGCCTCGGAGCCCCGGAGACGGCTTTAGCGACGGCACCCGCACCGGGAAGGCCTTCTCCAGCCCCGCTGCGACCCCTCCGCACCAACGGGGCCGGGATGAGCTCTGGCTGTACGAGCGCTCTTCCGCCGGCACGAGGGCGAGGGAGGATTCCGCGGGAGGAAAGCTGCCCGGCTCCACCCCGAGCCCCGTCCTGCGCAAAGAGCATTTCGCCCTCAGCTTCTGGCAGCCCCGCATCTCCGTCTCCGACGCTATGGGCACGCGGAGCGCAGCGAGAAGGGAGCGGAGCCCCGACGGTGAGCACGGCCGGGATGAGCAGTACACCCTGCGCACGTGGAGACCGCAGCGCTCGGCGTTGATCGACAAAGAGATCCTCCGCGATCTGCAGCGAGAGGAGGAGCTGCAGGAGCAGCGGAGGAGGCGGTTGATGGACGGCGAGGACGGCACGTCCAGGGAGAGCTCCCGTTCGAGGCACAGCTCGGGTAAGAGCAGGGCTGACCGCGTTCATCGTGTCCGACGGTGTCCGTTTGGGGACCGGAGCGCACCGTGCCGCGTCCCGCAGCGCCAGGACGGCACGTCGGAGTGCGGGGCTGCGGGCAGCGAGCCGTCAGCTGTAGGGCAGGGAGGGACGACGCGGAGCTCCGCACGCAGCGTCTCTTTCTCTCTCTCTGTCCGCAGCCGCCTCGGGTACCAGCGGCTCTTACTCGGTGTCCAGCTCGCCAGTCCTGGCCCCGCAGCAGCCGGGCGTTCTGGGCCTGGTCTCGTCCTTCACCCCATTGAGGCTGAGCTGCTCCGAGAGCTCCGGCCCCGATTCGTTGCGGTGCAGCCCGTCGGAAGAGAGGAGGAGGAGAACGAAGGAGGAGGGCAAGGTGAGACGTGGGGGTGGGAGCGCCCCGGTGGTGTGAAAGGCGCTTCCCTCTTTTCCTAGGATGCGCTGAACTTTTGTTTCTCACTTTTCTCAGTACGCGGGCATCGAACCCATTGACAGAATCAACACGGAGGTACGGCCCTGTCTGTGCTGGGGCTCCGGGGGGGGCTGTGCCGCATGATGCGGTGCGGGGCTGAAGGCTGAGTCCGGCCCTGCTCGTCCCGCAGCCGCCGGGGGGGGGGCAGCGGAGCGCGGGGCTGGGAGCGTTGGTTGCGAGCGGGGCGGCTGTTCAAATAACTAATTAATAATAATAATAATAATCAAGAGCTTCTTCATTTAATAAAAGCGTTCTGTTTCCGCAGGTGGTGGAGAGCACGCGGGTGGTGCGGCATCAGAGCGCTATGGGGCAGCGCTGGGAGAGCGGGCAGCTGAGCACCGACAGCGACTGAACGGGGGGGAGGGGGGGCTGCGCAGATCCCAGCGGCTGATCCGATCCGTTCGACATCCGAATTGCTTTCACCTTTTTCCCTTCGAGGTGAAGCCATAGTTTGTTTTTATTTAAAGGCGGGGACGCTGATCATTTTGTTTAAAGGCTGATCATTTTGTTTTAATTACTTCTGCAAGGAGGCGGCTGGACGGAGAGAAATCATACGGTGATTGAAGGTCCTTCTCATTGCAAGCTGTGTTTGTGGCTTATAAAAGTGAATGTTTTGTTTTGGAGTGGTTTTAGGCTTTCAGGCAACACCCAGGAAAGCCCCGGGGCTGACATGCAACACCGAGGAGAAATCGAGGCTTCTGATTGAGTCGTTGATCTGCTGAGGCACAGCCATAGATGACACATTAATGCTGTTTATATTGCTAATTTATTAAAGTTGTCTCTCTCACTTGGTGCAGTCTGTGTGTCTGGCAGTGCTGGGGGCCCGCGTTGACGCCGTGCTGCTCCCCAGGGCAGCAGCTTTGCAGGACTCCCCTCCTGCTTGCAGGAAAGCACTGCTGCACTTTGCTCACGGGTGCAGCACGGTTCCCTTCTGCTGCTTCCCCTTTCGGTCTCAGAACCGACAGTGGAGGGGGGTGGGTTGAAATCCCCCCTATAAAAAAAGGGAAAAGAAAGCAGTTTTGCAGAAGCCTTCAGCAGTCACTTCCTTTGGAATGGCTGCTCAGCACCCACATTCCTGCTCTCTGAGCCTGGCAATCCCAGAACCACAGCATGGGGGTGGGAAGGGACCCCCAGCCCCATCAGCTTGTTGGCTTTTTGTGTGGTTTGGGTTTTTTTTTTCCTCACGGTGGCCCAGGGAAGCAAAAGACAGCGGTGTGATTGTGAGAAGGGCTCTGCTGAGGGGTGGTGCCACCTGGTTTGTGGGGTGTCAGCCTCCCATGAGCCAGCTTTGGGGTGTGGACTGAACAGATCAGCACAGGGGAAATGAAAGGCTGATCTGTCGGCATCTTCTTGTTTTGTTCTGCTGTTTTAGGACAGGCAAACAATGTCAAGAAAACTGTTTTATTCGAGTGCATCAACAATTCAATCCAACAACTTGCCTGGACTGGGAGAGAATATATTGAATGAATGGCAATTGGACAGCTGAGGAAGTCGATTGTGTCAGCTAACGAGCCCTATCTCAGTTAATGCCAGCTTTCTATCACATCACTAATAACTGCAGAACACTGACTTTGTGCAAACACGAAAACTTCACACCTCTTTTCTAACTAACTGAATTATCAGTGCTGTTTGTAGAACAACAGCTTTTCACTTCACCTGAGAACGAAAGCAGTGCAAACCTGTAGGCGTTGTGTTCTAAGGGATGGACGTTCAACCTTTGCTAAACATTGCTATTAAAACTTCTCAAACCCAACTTCAGAACACGCTCCTTTCCAGCAGAAATTAAGTGGACGCCTTTATTTCCTGAGCTTCTTTTCAGACGCTTTGACTTGCTGGAGAATGACTTTCAGCATCTTCCCCATTTTGGCCTTGGTCAGCGATTTCCTGCTGTACCACACTTGGTCCCACATGGAGCACATGTGTCTGGGGGAGAGATACAGCGGGTCATAATCGTGCAGCATGTCCCCCGGCCTCCTCTCTGCATACTTCTTATAAGCTTGGACTGGGCAGCTTTTGGGGTTGTTGGGTCTGGCGAAGAGAAGTGGAGCCGATGGCCCTGCGGCTTCCTCTGCATTGAGGTCGTGCTTCCACTCCAGGTACTCCAGCCCTGCCACGTTCCTTCTGAGCACCAGCTGTCCCCAGTACAGATTGTGGCCCTGGTTGTGTGTGCTCGCCCCAAACCCCCTAATGATATTTACAAACATCAGGTGCAGAAAGCCCTGTGGGTCGGTCTGACTTAACAGCCCCTTCTTACAGAGGTTATCCACGTGCTCATCTGTCAGGTTCTCCAAAAGAGCCCAATTTTCCTCTCTCTCTCTTTGAGACAGAAACTGATGCTTCTGTTTCAAGGCTTCCTGAGATGCCCTGAATTCGGGTCCTCTCACCACGCTGTACTCATAACCGTGCTCCATCAGGTACTTGTCAATGCTGCTCTGAAAGAACCGCAAAGACCCAGGGGAGAAATCCATGCCGTTCTTTTTCTTTGCAGACGTGTAGAACAAGGCCAGGTAATGATCAAGGTCTTTGGGTGGCAGCTTATGGATCTCACGTGTCTCAGAAGGGCAGTGCACATCCAGCCACTCTCGGAAAACTTTGATGCTGGCAGCACTGCTGTTTCTCTTGCTCAGCACATCTAAAAGATAAGAAAGAGCTTTGTGATCAGTGACAGCTAGCGAGGAGATCAGTGAAACAGAAAGAGATGCAGAATAATGTTCCCCTTCCCTTTAAAAATCAGGCAGTCACAAAGCCTCTCCGTTAAAGCTTTGGTTCTGACTTGCCCACACCGCTCTGCAGCACTCGTCTGGACGTGGAAGGACAGCCTGTCTTCTCTTCCTCACTTAAATGGTGAATCTGCATGCTGCCATCCAGGTAACTGCAAGGTATTTTCTTTTTGAATCATGTTTTAATTAGGAGAGAATTATTGGGAGCTGTAATTGTCATTGCTGGCTTGTCTTTCTGTCGGTAAGGGACTGAATTTTGCCCTGGCTGACTTTGAGGTCATAACCATGCTCACAACCAGCAGCTCCACTCCTGCTGCTGCAGCATTAGCCACAAAGTTCAAACAAGCCAAAATGGCCCTGGTGTGCTTTCAGCAATTTGCAACTGCTCTGGCTTGTATTTCGTGGTGACCCCAGGGGCCAAAGTCTGCTCTGTTCAAATGAATGGGAGGCAGCCTGGATGTGGATCCTGTCATCTGCCTCAGGACCGAGCGCCCTGCAGTTCATACATTGAAAATGTTGGACCTCATTATGTAAGACATATTTCAAAGCTTTCCTCTGCCCTGAAATCTCTTCAGGGCAGGAAAGCTCTCACTGTAAAATAAAAGCGTGAACCCAAAGTTAGGGGTGAATAGTAAGGAAGAAGAGAAGATGAATAATATGTTTAAAGGAAGGGAAGCCAGCTGGGGTCTTTCTAAGTTGCTGTGCAGTACCACATCTACAAGTTCCACATGGCATGAGACATTAGTTCTTTGGGTTGCTGTAGAGCCCCATCTGCCCACCTGTGATTTTTCCAGGGCTGAAGAAAGGATAGATTAAAAAGGGTTCTAAGCCAACCTCTAGAAGTTCTTCTTCTGGCACTGAGCTATTTTGTATGTGCTTAGCAATCATAAAATGCTGTGACTGGATGGAGGTGGATTCTGCTGTGCTGCTGTCTCAGTGTTTTGCCTGTTCTGTTTTGTTAGTGAGCAGTCCATGGGAAGGGATGGATGCCTCAGTGCTTACACCTGGCTGCTGGAAAACCAAGCCATGAAACTGACTAGCCAGCAGCTTACATGGATTGACATGGAACAGCACCTGCAGGCATGCAAACAGTTACCAATGCAAACGATGTGGCTCACTGTAATGCCCTTGAAAACCTGGGCATTTGCATTTTATTTGAGGTGTTTAATCATTCAATCAAATGATGTGGAGCTGGTATGTGGTAGCAAGGCTCCGGTGTAGCACACAGCTATGCTAAGCCAGAGTTTCAGCCAAAATTTCTGTTTTGTTGCTTTGAAAGTTACTTCCTCATTCTTTTTTTCCTTCTGTGAGACCAGAGTTCACATCTCTGGTTCCAGTTTCTCACAGGGGTTCTGTCTTAAGTACAGCCAACATACTGCATGGTGATACCAAATGAAAGACCAAGATATTCAAAGTGGGTTAAAGCTATCTCAATAAAAGGCATTATCTGTGTAGGAATATTTTTAGTCCCTTTTGGTAGAAATGGCATGACCTAAATAGGACGCATTTATTTAGATGCTACAATACCCATTTTGCCAGCTAAAGGAAGTCACCCTCCTGTAATTACTTGGGAAAGTGAAAGGTGCCCACAAACCCTCCCGTGCTTAAAGCTCCAGGGCATCTTACTGGTTTTGGAAGATTCAGGAGGTTGGGTGGCATTCCTGCCTTGTGGGCTCAGTGAGGCTGAAGGACGAGGGGCCTGCTCAGAGCCTGACAGCCTGCTGTCCTCTGCAGAGCCCTCGGTGCCATTGTCATTCAAGTCCAAGGTTCCTGAGAGGCTGCATTCAGTAGAGCTCAGGTGCATTTGCTGCTGGACATCAACTGTGGCTTCAAGCTCAAAGAACATCACAGGGGCAGGTGGCTCTGGCTGGGCTTTTCCTTCCGTGTTGGAGATAGGAATCGATTCTAAATCTTCTTTTGGTGCTGCTGACCCAGCAGAATCCCTCGCTCTTGAATTTTCAGACACTGTGGGATTGAGGGAACCCAGACCCAAGAAGCTGCTTTCCAGGATCTTTCGATCCCTCCCAGGAGATTTTAGAATACAGCAAAGAGGTGGGGGAGGCGTTGCCATGGGGGTGAAGCCAGACGTAGAGGTGACTGCCTGCTTGTTAATTTCTGTCTTCAGATCACGATACATCTGCAAACCCACCTCAGCAGTTACATCTTCAGGTGGTGACCATGAAAGAACATTCTGGTCGATTCTCTCTTCTTGGTTTTCTGCACTCAATGCATGCTGCTCATCATCAGAGATGATGTGCAGATCTTCATTGTATTCTAGCTTCACCTTGTGGGGGTCCGTTCTGATTTTGCCTACGGCTATTGACAAATGCTGCTTTGCTGCAGAGCCTGGTTGCATGGATTTGCAGTTTCTTTGGTTTGGTCTGGCTGCTGGTTCGTTACGTATTTTGCAGACAGAATCTTTTTGCTGAGGGCCACGTGATCCCGTGGCAGCGCTGTCTCTTGGAGGCCTTTCAAAAGACGAGGCCATCCTGATCCTGCTTTCACCTACAGCAGCACCTCGTGACGGAGCCCCAAAGGATGTTTGCCTCCTTCTCTTTTCTGCAGCCTCGTTCCCTTCCTTGCTTCCAAAGTGTAAATCTTCACACGTCCAGTGATAGGCATGTCCAGCTCCACAAATCCACACAACAGAATTCTCCTGGCGAGGTTGACCCACGTTCTGCATGGTTTCCAGGGCTGGGATATGAACGCATATGGTCCCATGTGTGTGTGCCCAGGTCACAAGGTTGGAGAGATCCTTGCAAAGCGAGCTGGCATTGCTGCAGGCTTCATCAGCCACGCTCTCAAACTGCAAAAACACGTTGGAAGTAATTAAGTGAAAGGGAACGTGCATAAAGTGGCAGTCCTGGGGGCTGCTTTCAGCCCCATCCCGACAGAATAACAACTCCACATCAGTGATCCTTCTCTTGATCCTTTCTAAAACAGTAGGTTCTTTCTTTAAAAACAATCATCATCATTTAAAAAATTCTCCTCTTTGAAGACCTGGAGGGTAATTGGGTGTGGTTCTGGAATGGTGAGTTTATAATGGATACAAATGCAATTTATGCATAGTTGTGGGCTTGTGCCTTGATCAAGTAGTTGTGCTTAAGAATTTGTCATACTGCAGCTGAGCCACAGCAGCTGTTCACATGTGTCCTTAATTTTCAGCACAATTAAGGTGAACACACTTGCTGAGTCACCCAAGCAGGTACTGCAGCTCAGCTGAGGGGGAGGCACCACACAGAAGAGGATCTGAGTTGTGCCCTGAGCAAGCTGGCACCTATCACCAATTCTGTACTCACTGATGGAAGACAACAAGAGGAAGCATCAGCAATCAGCTCCTCTGCCTCTGTCCTCCCTGCAGCCAACAAGGCTCATAGTTGTGCTGCTGGGAGGATGCTTCCCCGAAGCTGAAAAATGGGCCTCACATCCACGTGTCTAAAACTCTGCAATTTTAATGCTGTAACTGATTCTGCTAGAAACAATTGGTTTGGGTCGAATTTATGCTGTAAGATGTACTCACCATGCTGCTGTTTTTATCTCACTGGGTGTTCTTTCGTGTGGAATTCAGTAGAATATCCTTTCTTTTTCTCTCAGGACCTAAAATAACCATCATACGTGTGTGTGTATATTTAGAGAGAGAAAATATATTTGTACATATATATATAAAATGTCTGGCTGGCAGATGCTGCTACTTTTTTCCAACATTCAGCCCAAAACAGATGCTTCCACAGGACATGTATCTTCACAGAGGTAAGCAATCACATTTAGTCCAAAAGAACTCTATATAGAATGCTTGGCTTATGTAAATATTTGGAAGATTTGCCTATAGAGCATACCAAAATAACTGGAACAAAATATAAGTATTGGCAATGGAATTTCAAAAGGGAGATGTTCCTTCCAGCCCTGGCACTTTGTGGCTATTAATCTGAAGTTCTCCAAACTGACATGCAGAAACATTTCTGTGTCATAGTCTGGAAGGATGCTGTAATTCCTGCATCGCTGGTTACACACCTTACTGTCAGTCCAGATATTGCAACAGAGCCAAGAAGCCTCACGATGCCCTGTGTGACTGAGGCTGCATGAATTCACCGTTCGTAATGGCAGCCTTTACTCCAGGCTTAGTCTTAATCTGTTATTAATTACAAGTTTTACATCAAGTGGCAGCAAAAGATGCCTGACTGAAAGCACTGTGCACTGGAATCCTGTCCGAACTGGCTGTGGGAGCAGCTCTGGCCCTGCAGGCTGTGAGCTTGAGCCTGCAGGGCTGGTTGCCAGCTCTGTGTGCTGTTCTTCCAAGCCAGCTGCAGAAGATGGAAGAAAACCATCCCAGCTGACAGATGCAGGGCCGCTCTGTAAGCTGTGAACATGCTGTTTGTCTGCAGGGATTTACTTCAGGTTAGTTAAACTGAGAGAAAGACTGTAGGCGCACAGTTGTACTGCAGGTATCCAACTGTGTGCCAGCACCCTGGCTCCACTGTGCCCTCAGCACCCAGCCCACTCCATGCTGTGCTCCCCCAACCAGGGCAGGCCAGGATGAGGCCCAGCACCCAGCCCAGCTGCCAGGAGGAAGGAGTGGGGCTGGGGAACACAGGAGCCACGTGGTGGGGGCAGCCCTCGTGTCGTGACAAACAGAACGCAGGGATTGGGAAACCACTGCTTGGCCACATTCCTGTGCTGAAGAGCTCCTGCAAGTGTGTTTACACAAACCTTGCTCTGTCGATTCAGAACTTCCAGAAAGCAGCACGCTCTGGGGCCGCACAGCAGCCCGGCTCCACGGCTCAAGCTGGCACAGCACTTAGGAACACAGAATTTTAAATGAATGCTTCAGTCTGCTGATGCCAAAGCAAAACGTGCTTTGCTGAATGCTGAGCCCGAGTGAGTAAGCATGCAAAATGTTCAGGCAAAAGCGTAATTGTTCTAAGAGGAAGGAAAACAAACGGCCATCAAAGCGGTGTGGACTTCTGAACTGCTCAGCATGAGGGAGTTCTCTTGAACCAGGCAATAACAAACACCTGCGGAACAATTAACAGGTTTTCTTTATCCTAATTAGGCAAAGCACAAGCTGTAAAGTTCTCTCTAAGCTCAGGTGATGGATGGTGGCACTGAATGTCCCTTTCAGCAAGAACAGCACAGCTCGAATCTTTCTTGTCAGGTCAGCTTTACATCCCAGTAAGGAATGAACAGCAGGCATCAGAACCACTGCAGCTTGGAATGAAATCGGTGCATGTCAGCAAAGCTCTGCAAAGCCCTTCTGCTCTTACACGAGCATCAATCCATGCGTTCCTTTTTAAGGCTTCCTATTGATAGCAAAGCATTCTGGGCTAAAATTATCAGTGCTGTTTGCAGATGCAAGCCTGTGAAACGTGCAAAGCCAGGATTTTTAAGGAATTTTCTAACAGAAATCTGCTTGCTTTAAAGTAGTGGACTGGGCAGCTCCCTGCAGTGCTCCTCAGCCTCCGTCTGCCCATTAAAAGCTGAACTAAGCTCTGGGAGAACTGTTTTGCTCTTTCTGAAGTTAGAGCTTTATCTTGGAGCTCAGCATGTGTAACTTGTCCCCAGGGGGCAGGACAGCTTGGGCAAACAAAGAATTTCCATGCATCACTTTGGCCCTTACCCAGTGTGGGAAAAGGTAACAGAAATGGAAGCTGTGCGTGGTCACAAGGCCATGAAGTTACTGAGTTGGCAGACGATCATCTTGATTTCCATCATGGGAGCCCTTAATTGGAATGCTTTTATCTCTCCTTATCTCCAAGCACACGTCTTCCTTTTCCTGATCTCACTGAAAAAGCCTTTTTTTCTCTTCAGATTTAGGTCCAAATAAAATCTCTGGTAATCATATGAGGGTACTTCTTCAGCCCAGTCCTGCTTTCTTATTTACATTGGTTGAGAGCACCTCCAAAGAAACTGTAAAGTGGAGGAAGACTGAATTTACTGTTAGAACTGAGCAAAAAGGGGGGAATTACAGAAAGGGGGAAAAATGTGTTTACAGCACTACCTGCTTCCAACAACAACAGGCTCTGTGTGGGGAAGGGGCTCAGAGCTTGGGGTTTGTATGTGGAACCCACACCTTCGTGCAGAAAAGCAGGAAATTCCAGAGCTGTGCAGGGAATGTTTGTTTGCTTTTAACCCATAGGGAAATCACTGCATTAATGGAACCTACAGTTACGTGAATTCATGCTCACCAGGAGAAAGAAGGGGAACAAAAAGTTGTTTTGCTCTCTCGTGGCCCCGCACCGGTAAGCTTTCAAGATGCTAAGGGAATAAATGCTTATTTTCTCTATGGATTAATCAACAAAAACGTGGTCAGGTATTTTAAAGAAGCCTGCAGCATTTCAGTGGAGCCCTTAAAGCTGACTACAAGCACTGAAATGCTGCTTCCTATTTAAGACTTTCGTGTGCCTAGTTTGTGTTGTGGGGAAAAGATTCAGTCCTTTGTGAGAACAGTTCTTTAGTAAGGTTGCTACCCAGAATCACCTGACATAAATATCCATGCTTTACCCTTTTACATTTCCATGAACTCCATGCAGCACTACAGTATGGGGGTGGTTGTCTGAAACTCTCTGTGATGTACGCAGGCTTATGCAAGCAGGAGAACTAAATAAAGAGCCTAATTGTACAGACACTGGAAGCCCTTTAACCACGCTGTTCCTGTCCCTCCACCCTGTAATAGTCCTGGATGTGTTTCTCTTATGTCTCATAAGGTCTGTTTCACAGATTAGAAAGCTGAGGCATGCACAAAGCAAGTAAATATGAGAGCTTTGGCTTTTCAGCTCTAGATAAGACAGTGCAGGAAACTGGAACAATCCCGGTGGAAAAACAGGATACAGAGCAGCAGTTCTTAAACTTGGCTCCCACCCCCTCCCCCAGCATGGGTTGTTTGTTCCTGCTTGCTTGAGTAACACTTATTGGAGGTGGAGGGACACAGGACAGCTGTAAAACATGCATAGAGGAGGGGATGGGCTGCCTGAGAGCTGCAGAGAAGGGGTGAGGGATGCTGCTGGAGGGACAGGGCGTCTGGGGCAGCAGCGAGAGGAAGTTGTGCTTGAGCACATCGGCTTGAAAGGAGCAAGGAGGGGGCCGAGGTGGAGGAGAAATTGCTCGTGGCTGCCAAAAACCATTGAACTTGTCCCACAACTTCTTAGCGAGGGCCTTTGGGGTGGATTAATCATTTCCCAGCACATCGTTCTTCCTGTTCTCTGCCACGTTTGTTCCTTTCCTCCCCGCAATGTGCCACAGCCTTCTCAGCGCTTCTGCTCTGTTCTGCTCCACCTCTCCTTCCCTGCTTGCAGAAATGCAGTTCCCGAGATACTTAGTACTTGCTACAGGGTGGCATGTCTGTATTTTGAGAGAAAGCAACATCCAGCTGTGTGAGAGAGGGCCGGATCTGATTGCACAAACCAGCCCTCAGAGTTAAATGTTAAATGTTAGCATACAGTAAACCACATTCCTTAAGCAAGAGCTTTTTGGTCCAAAGAACTGGACACATTTTTTCATCCGAGTCCTAATTATGTCTTCTCTTGAGGGTCTGCATTACATGGCTGCCGTCCTTGTAACAGAACTGTGAGCTCTAAATCAAGTCTTCTTCAAACAGAGCCAATAAAAGCCTGCAGCCAGCTGGCAATGGCTCGCCTGCTCCAACAAGCAGTAATCAGCCTCTAAAAACAGATGTAGTAAAGGAAAAAATTAATTTTAAAACACGAACTGCTATAAATAGGCAAAAAAAAAAAAAAAAAAAAAAAAAAGTAAAAGCTGAATTTGGAATAGGGCAAATCTGTTACTTGGGTGGAAAATGCTACAGCATCGATCACAATTGTGTTGCTTATCCTGTTAGTGCTGCCATTTGTGAGCAGCCTCACACTTAGGATGAGTGCCATCAGGAGGGAGGGGGCTGTTATTTTCCATAACTATTCTACATGTAGGCTGATTTATTTTTCCTTTTTTCCTTTTTTTTTTTCCTTCCAGACCTGCGCTAGGGGTGAAGTGCCCCATTGTGTCAGCAGGGAGCAGACTGTGGGAAATTGCTCTATTCCCCAGCAGCCGATTGTGTTAAAATAATCTTTCACTTAATTAACAGGAGAGGATGTCTGTTGGCAAGAAGGTCTTTGTACAAGAGTTTTCCATTCTTGTAGCTGTTCGCCTCACTGTTTGCGGTATTTTTCAGGAAGCTCGAGCTTCACTAGTCATGTGGTAACATCATCGTCTATGGTAATTTCCTACGACGATTCTAACCCTCACCATTTCACGAAGCCTGCGCACACCACAGCCATTACCTGCGCTCCTCCCCGCCCCTTCTGCAGGGAGCGGACTCACGGCGCGGCCCCGCCAGAGGGCGCTCGGCCGCCGGGATGAGCTTTGCGCCCCGCCCACCGTCAAGTCCCCGCCCACCTCCGCCTCCCCGCCAATCAACACCGTCCCTTCCATCGACGTTCCCCGCCCACCGCAGTGGCAGCGCCAATCAATACTGTCCTTCCCATAGACGTGCCCCGCCCACCGCAGTGGCCCCGCCCACCATCACGGCTCCGCCTGCTCGATTGCCCCGCAGGCGAGCAGGGCGCTGACAGCAATGGCGCTCGGGGGCGGTCGCAGTGCTGGGCTGCGGGAGGTCAGGCTGGTGCTTGGAGGTGATGATCTCCAAGGTCTTTCCCGCCTCAAATAACTCCACGATTCTCTGCACTCGATGTGCTGACTCGAAGGAAGCGGGCTGTCTCGCTGCTGAAAACGCCGCGCTGCGCAGTGCTGACTGGTGGTGCTGCTCAGCTGAGCACCTCCCCGTGCGCAGCCCTCGCATCAGCGATAAGGCTGTTACCGTATCTTCAGTGCTTTCAGCGTCTGTTCTCTCCGTTATTTTTTTTATGATTAAATATGAAGATCCCATTTGTCAATCTGCTAGAAGAAACTTGCTTCTCTTCTGTTCCGTGGTTGATGTTCATTGCAGTTTTATCTATTTCTGGACAGTCTTTTTAGCTAAAGTTATAAAGGCACATTTCCTAACATCTACTGAACTAAAGAGAAACCTGCAGTGCTGTTGGCTGGAAGGAGCATCACCCAAAGTTCCCAGCACTGACCTGTGCATTTGATTTGACCTGAACCCAAACGCTTTTTCATCTGTTCTGCATCACACATTGCCTAACCACAAGCAGGGGGTAAATGCTTCATAAAACACTCTGCATGAAATGCGGTAGAAAAATTGTTATTAAATGATATTTGTGGTGAAACCGTGACTTGGAATTAGACCTAATTGTTCACAATGAGACATACTAACCTATATATATACATATGTATATATGTAGCAGTAGGGAATGATTTTAACTACTGACACCTTAACTCTTTTCCAGGCTTGAGGATTTCACCTTTTTGGAAGCACTTTGGATCTGTGATGACTCAGTATGGGGGTAGGTGCAAAGTCAGTCTTGCTAGCAACAGGCAAAGAGCTAATTCCCATTTTTGCACCTCAGATGTTTATGAAGGTTTGCTTTGGATGTGATACTAAATTGCTGTGGCTCCTGGAAGCAGAATTCCCACCACAGAAGCTTTTGCTCTGGCAGGATTTTCTGCTGTTGTCTTTGAAGTGTCACTGTGTCCCTTACCTCCTCCTGGGTCTCTGGAGGTGCTTCAGGAAGCTTCTCACAGAGCACTGCAATCTAGGGAGAGAAGACAAGGACCTCACCAGCACTCAGAGGACAGGGTAGCCTGGAATAAGAGAGAGAAAGAACATATTAGTTATTTAGAAAAGTGATCTTAAAGCAACTTGAAGATCCTTTGTGTGGAATAGAAACGAATAGAAGGTTCTCTGCCCCGAGAGCTGAGTCTGCAGTCACTCCTGAGTGGCATCTTGAGGCAGAAGCTGGCATCAGCATCATCTGGAGAAGCACCCTAACAGGCAGCAGCTCCCAGTTTCTGTCTCCCACCCGAGTGCTGCATTCAGCAGGAGCTGAGTCTCACAGGTGAAAAATACCACAGGTGGATGGCATCTTGCCTCTGGAGAGATAGCAAAACCAGCACTGACACACCTAACCACTAATTTGGAAAAGAGAAATACACTCTGGCATAGCATCCCTAAGAGCTTGCCAACCTTTGTCCTGCAGCAGTGATAACACTCTTTCCAAAGTGTGAGCAAGAACAAATAATTAAGTCTGTCCTCTAAATTCAAGAAAGAAAGATAAAAAAAGAGGTAATGAGTGAGTTCAGGTCTGGGTTCTGTGCTGTAATTGTCACAATTTGGAAATCTCTCCAAGCCCATAACCATAAAGCCAGCTGTCTCTTACTGGATCTTCCAGTGCGTGCTCTCAGCTGACTCAGGCATCAGTTAACATGTCTGAGAAAATCACTGAGGCTGTTGCTTTCCCGCAGCCTAAATATGCTCCTCAAACAGCTGTCTGTGCTGTGCTTCTGGGGACGCAGGCCTGGCTGTGAGCACTGGGTTACAGCCACAGCCCTGCTCCTGTGTTTGCATTGCAGCCTTTTTGCTCCTCTGCTGACCGCGGCGCTCAGGCAAAGCTCAGCAGGGCAAATCTTGCTAGCTGTCTTACATTGTTGCAGAAGTAACACGCTGAGATTAAGTATCTTCTCAATAAATGAAGTTAGATACTTATTTGTAATCCTGGTCCTTAATGAGAGAGAGCACCTACAGCTGTCCCTCTAAACTATACTTGGCTACGCAGGAAGAATGTCTCAGTTCAAGTTGACTTCAGCTGCTTGCAGTGTGTGAAAGACAGGAATTAAGTCAGTACAGATCTCCAGTGCTCAAGATATGCCTCTGCTCCTTCCTTTCCAAATGGCCCAGTCGTCAGGAGTCTCTTTTGTGTTGATGCAGTGCTTTTAAGGAGAACACACATCGAGAGGTGATGTTTAGAGAAGGCACAGGTAGCTGTGCATAAGGTTCTGCAAATGAGGCACTGCTGGTACAGTGCTGTCACTGCACTGCATTCACTGCCCCCACGTCTGAGCATCTCACCCAATTAAATATGAAACATCCTAGAGGATATCGTGTTCCTTTGTTTCTTTGGCAACACAGAACTTGAGCTCTCTTGATCCTCCCCGACTTCACGTTTTGCAGGTTCATGTCTCGATGTTCTTTTGATGCTTGTTTTAACACCCTGGAGATCTCAGTCCACTCTCATGTCTGTTACACAGAAAATGTGGTGTACAATCGACTAGACAAGGAGAGAGCTGCTTAATGAGCAGACATTTCTCATCAGCACCCAGACCTAAAGGTGACAAAGAAGTGCTGTGGGGCAGAGCAGCAGGACAAGAAGCCACATCTATTCTTAGCATCATAGCAAAGTGCCACTGATCACAGTGACCACTCCTAACATTAGCTAGGTGGAGCATGGACTTGCAGAGAGCAGCTGTAACTAGAATGTACGTAAATAATAACAGTAAGTAGCCAGTCTCCCTGTTAAAAGTCTGGTTTGAGGACACTGGATGTAGGTGACTGCTTCTGTTTGTACACTTCCATCTACTTTGAGCAAATAAGACCCACGCTGGTCTGAGATCAGAACATTTCTTCCCATTTTTTTTTTTTGCCATTGGAAACATAAGCAAGTCCTCCTAGCACAAAAGCAAAACCCCTCAGCCCTGGAGCAAGGCTTTGCTGTGCTGCTTCCATTACATAACATCCTCCAGGAACATATGGGCCAGCAAACAGAAGACGTCCGCTGCATAATTATGGCACTGACAAACCCATTGAACCTCAGCAGCTGCCACTGGGGAGATTTCATTCATTCCCAGTATTGCCTTTTAAACTTAAGTGGCACTGAAACAAACACATCTTTGATCCAAGTAGGAAATCATTTGGAGCTCTGTGCTTAATAGAGCTGAAGCCCTGGGAAAATGATGTCTTTATTAGCCTGTATGACAATGCGGGCCTCATGGCAGGCATGCAGCAGTCTGATGTCAGCCCCATTACTTCTTCAGATGTATTTGGAAATATTTGTTCTTGAACTGATGTGGAAAAAAGTGCTTTAATTCAGCTGTGCTGCTGAAGCACCTATAAACTGCATCTGGGACCTCAAAAGGAATGCGAGGGAAGGGGGAGAGGAAGCATGGTTGTGGCAGTTCCAAAACAGAGCCGTGTCTGCATTTCTCCCCTTGGGCTATTCCATGTTCTTTGGGGGTCACTTGTTTCTCCCTTACCTCAAAATGCCAGTGAGAGATTTCCCTGGAAAACCACTCTGTCTTATTCCCTGGTGGAGGTAATTGTAAATATGATCAATCTAAATATTACTCCTAGTTACAAACAATTACATCAGCTGAGAAGGGAAGCTGGCTCTCGCACAGACAAATCTGGCACGCTTACAGTAAGTGAGCAGCGGTTTGCAGATGTACACATCTAATGGAGATGTTCAAGATGCTCTCTGTGTGCCTCTCTATCTCTTTTAGGGCTCTTTTTTTTTTTCATTTAAACGAACTGCGCTCAGGGTCTGAAATTCCCTCGTCTGGAGTCATCTAACATCTGTGTTATATCCATTTATACAGCAGATGCAATGGGAGACAGCCTGACGACAGAGGACAGAGGTGATGAGCTAGCATTTCATCGAACAATACCTCAGCCTGGCAGGTGAGCAATGGAGAGCCTTCAGAAATAATGCATGAGCTTCAGGCTCCCCTGCCACAGGAGTCTGTTACCACGCTGCTCACCTGGTAGCTGCTGTTTCTTTTACCACTGATCCCTTTTACAGAGTCACCTGTGCTGATGGAAGAATCAGTGTCATGCAGCAGCCCAGTAATGGAGCTGGGAGAACCAGGTTCCCAAGCAGCAGTGAGACAAGCAGGCACTTGGACTTGCAGTTCTGAGTTACACAAAGCCCTCTGAGTTCCCACACGAGTGAGATCTCTTTAAACCCTGCTTGCCGAGCCATCGAGACCCCCTGGGTGGTTTATCAGGAAACTGGCACCATCATTAGAGCATAATAAAATAAAATCATTGTAAGGAAATAGAAGAGCATGCCGGTCTCGTTCTGAACAGATCTGTAGCATGGAAGGTGATTGAACTGCACCAAGCTTTTATTGAGAAAAAAAAAAAAACAAGAAGGCTCTGAATAAAGAAAAGAAATACAGAACTTCAGCAACACAGCAGAGGACAGAAATGAAGTTTATTTCACTGCCCTGGGATAGCACAGGGAGATGTGCTTGTAAGGATGGTTGTTTGTATAAATAAATGTTCATTCTTGGCAGTGGAATGCAAACTATGCTGAAGGGCTGGAAACAGACCACTTTGTAAGGCTGAGGCCAGAGTAAGGGAAAGATGAAGCGAGGTTGTGGAGAGGAAATTCACATTCATTTTTAGCAACTTGGAGAGTTTCTCAAGCATGTTTGACATTTTTAATTATGCTGATGTAGAGCCTATTCAAGGACAAAAGAAGTCAGGATTACAGGGGGAACAATTAGGAAATTTCACAGCTAGGGATATTGTTGCCTGTGGGCCTGGAGACTTTGCTGAAATATGGGATCATCTTTCCTACTTTCGAGACGAATGGAATTTGAGCATCTTGCAGAATCCTCCCCCAGGTCAGGAGCCTTAGATCTGCACTGTTTTACTAAAGGTGCATTTTTGATGGCACTGGAAGGAGATCAGTCTGATCTGTTGCTTTGTGCCCAAGCTTTCCTGCAGGGCTTCCTGAGGAGGTGAGGAACAATCTCACTGCATCTGCACCAACTGTTTCAGAATCCATAACAATTACAGTGGGAAATAAGACCGCATTTTCTTGTGGAGAAGAGGATCAGCTCTGCTGCATCAAATCACACAGCCACGGCCTGTTTGTCCACCCTCCACGCTCAGACTGTTGTACATCGTGGCCACAGCATCTCGTTTTGTTTGGGTACCACTGGAGGAGGGCTGTGAGTGCTCATTCACCAGCCTTCCCTGCTGAAGAACTCGCAAGGACATCCACCTGTATTTCAGTTCCTGTCTCGGTGTGACACGCACAGCACTGGAATGGCAGGAGTTTACCATTTGTTGCTGAGCAGAAACACTTTGGAAAAAAAAGATGAGAGGTTTTTAATGCACCCCTGCTCTATTTGCCCAAGATCCCATGCCTTGTGTGCTAATGCGAGGGCTGCTACTCGTACTTTTAAGCGTGGTACAATTGAATAGGAACCTGCATTCTCTTTGAGCTAATGGAAAGTCACAGTGGAGGTATCCAGCTTCTGGGCATGAATAAATCATCAAGGGTATGAATTATTCAGTGAGCATCCCCACAGCATGTGCTGCATTCAGACTCAAGAGGCAGAATCCTCACTGTGTGGGTTTTTATCCCCCAAAATTACAAATGTACGACAGGCTAATGAATCTAAATATTCAAATGAAATCTTGGGAAATTAGATTAGAAGAATAATTTAGTAAAAAAACAACAACAGAACAGTAAAAAGGTGCATGAAAGAGCTGAGGTACTTCAGCCTGGCTACAGCTACAATGATCAGATGTTCTTCTTAGCTCGGTGACACCGTTGAATCAAGCTGTCCACAACAGTCAGAATCACACTGGGAAATATGAATAAATAGTGGCTCAGGAAATTGGAAACACCGGTTGGAGGAAAGAGCTGAAATGATGTGGGCACACAAACAGGGCAGAAACCGACCTGTGCCTCTAGCATCTTGTGTGTGGTTCTGGGGGTAAATTAGAAGGGGCATCACCAAACCAGACATGAATCCACTCCGACACAGGCTGGAAGAAATAAAAAAGCCCAATGCACTCAACAGCCAGGAAATGGCTGGTTCATCCCTCACAGGAAATGAGTCACCCGAAAGCAACTGCGAGGAACAGCGAAGACAGGGAAGTTCTGAAATAACACGAGCTGATAACAGCGTAACACGTACAGATAAGTCCTTCATTTTGTCATTCATTAGCAAGGAGGCAAGAAAGGCAAAACTTCAGATTCTGTGTTATTCTTGCAATTTTAATTTGGTGTAAATACTTGCAGCACAAAACCAGACCAGGGGACAGAAGGTTCCAGTGCTGCTGAACGGTGGATATTGTAAAATGGCAGCACTAATGAGAAGTTTCACGTGCAGATAAAATTGCTTGCAAAGTGCTAACCATCTCTGTCCTTGGAAGGGAAGCATCACATTGCTGTGTGGCACAGCAAACACAACATTCAGTTTTGCAGCTCAAGCTGCTTTGAAACTTTTTTTTTTCCTGTCCAATATTGAAAATATATAAAGCTCAATTCCAAAACGATGCATCAATCACCTACCAACTGGTCCCCTTTTTGATAACTCTACAGTGCCAAACTCTTCTGGATCAGGGGAAAAAATACTTCCTTTGCTAATGATGAATGCTGCTGGTAAAACTGAAAGCCTACCGTTAGGAAACGACCTCAGCACCGAGCCAGCACAGTTTGTGTGCTCACCCCTCTTCCTCCAGTAACCCAGCTCTCTGCCTGTGCAGCTTGTAACTCCTGTCCTGCAGTGCTGCTGGTCCCCCTTCCTCTCCATTCCTCAGGCTGATCAGCAGACACACAGGTCTTATTTTGGAGTGATGAACACAGCAGTGAGATTGCTCTTTCTCTTCTAGCTCCAGCCTAACCATTTCCAGGGCTGTGATGTGGCATCGTGAATGATGCACATAAGAATGTTCTTGGCATCCCAAGATGTTGCTAAAGCTGCAAATATTCTTTTAAACAAAACAGCCGTGTTAATTGAAAGTGGCTTAAAAGAAATAAGAGCAACAAAAAGAAACCAAGTTATTTGAAACATCCCCTGCCACTCCAGATTGCACTGGGGCTATACTATAGCAGAGTTATAAATGAAAGTGTTTCCTGGTTTAGAAGTTTGCAAGGTACTGAGAATAAAAAGGGAGAGGAGGGTGCAGGAAAGGAATGTTTTGTCATTGAAGCACTATCCAGGATATACACTACAGACAGTTCATTTTCCTCATCAGAGACCACATTTTTGGAGGGTTCCTGTTTTCAATTCACTGATAGAAGGGCAGGATTTAGCAGTCAGCAGAAGGGGGAAAAAGCTTTCTAGTTTGCCAAGAATACAGTTACACAGAAAAGCATCCTGTGACCGTAGCACAGGCTGCAGGGCTATTTAAAAACACAAAGAAAAAAAGGCAGGAAAAAGGTCCTTTTCATTTCAGAGGGTTCTCTTCCCAGCGTGGTAAATTAAACTCGGGCAGATAACGCGGGCAGGAAGGGCTCAGAAAGAGAAAAACCTGGGTGTGCCTCTCCAAGGCCTTTCTGGCCATGTGAGTAACTGGAGCTGGGGGAGGGTGGGACCTTGTGCTGGATTCTACCAAAGAGGCTGATTCATATTTTTTTCCTTCTCCTCCTCTTTTCTCTTTTCTCTTTTCCCCTTTTTCTTTCTCACGTGGCTATTTTCACGTGGGCTTCTTTTTCAAAACAAAAAGATACAGTCAGGTCATTCTCCCAGATACTGGCGTTGTTTGGTTTGGGGTTTTTTCTTTCTTCCTAAGGTATTATCTTGTTCTCAAATGCATTTTCCTGTTTGGCCCAGAGAAATGCTGCGTTACACAATAGCATCCTTAGTCAGTTTGCTACCATTGTGTCAAAAAAGATACTGGAGTTTCAGTTAAGTATTACAGTAAGATGATAAAAGGCTGCATCATCAGCATTTCTGCTAGAGAATCTGAGTAAGCTTGCACAAATTTTAACAGTTTTTTTAGTTAGGCCACAACTGCACCAGAGGTCTTTGAAATATAATAAACCCTTGATGGCATCCACCCATGTTTGCTTTTCCAAAGATATCTGAAAAGCAGCTGGAATATCTGCACTTGCAATAAACTAATTTCAACAGCCACCAGAAAGTGAGATGTTAGATAATAAGAAATGAAACTCTTCCATGTGAAACACAGCTTAAAATAGGCACAGTTGGAGAAAGTGTGTTATGGCTTGTGAGGCAGGAATCAAATTCCTGCTCTGCTTTGATCAAATCAGGTTTAACTCTCTGGCTCTCAGCTCAACGACTCTAAAGCAAATCACACAGTCCCATCATTTTCCCCTTCTCTGACTCATCTAAGTTGTAAATCTCTTATCAGTGGCACAAGCTAAGCTTCCTTTCATATGCAGTGCCTAGCAAATTAACTTGCATTTCAGATGGGCCTTTGGTCCCTGTAGTAATAGGGAAGCACATAACTCTTCTCCATTTTGAACTTTACTGTTGCAGCAAAGGGCAAATGGCTGGGAGCCCGACGAAGCTGTTGATAAAATCTGAGCTCATTGGGAGCTCTTGCGTGTCACAGATGGTGCCAAGAGTGAGCTGACAAGCGAAGCATCCCACCGCTCCATGAGAAAACAGGGCTCTGGGCTATAGGAACCAACACAGGAATACGTATTCAAGAAAAACTTACAGCTGGCTTCACATTTTGAATGTTGGATTGTTTTTTTTTCTTTCTCCTATAGTTACCTGTCTAGTGTATGCTTCAGAAGGAAATGAGAACGCAGAAGGCATGCCCATACCTGTCAGAACTACCTAACATTAAACAGAAGCGCTGCCCAAGGACACGACTCCATGTTTCATCTGCACTTTTAAATCTTTGCCCAAACCCTTTGCAGGTGCCACAGACACCGTTGTGTTACAGCTCCTATGCTTCCATCCATGTGTTTGTTTACCGCTGACAACAGAGGCAAGATTGGCAGATGTGTACAAATGTTTTCACAAAAATGTCAGCAGTGGGTGTGCGAGTGAGGGATGAGGGATCCTTTCTGCAGCAAGACCAGTATTATGTTGCCTAGAAACACTCAAAACAGGGCTGCAGCTAATGAAGCCAAGATCAATGTCGACCGAACGTTAGATATTTGATTCAGTGCTACACAAGGGACTCGTAGGGAGGCCTGGGACAATTAATTTTTGTGCTGCAGTCAAAGGATAGGGTTATGACAAGCGAGGCAAAGACAATAAATAAAGCTGGTAGAATTCCCAGCGAGCAAATATTGGCTATATTTAAACAGAAACGTGCAGCCTTTCATCCACATGGCGTGAGCAGGAGGAGCAGCTCAGGGCTGCCAGGTGGGAGTGCTGTGGGGTGAGCACTGCTCAGCCTGCTGGGACCACCTGAACCACAGGGATGCTCCCAACTGCTCCTTTTTCTCAATGATTTTAAAGGATCCGCATCTCTTGGCATGCAGAGGAGGTGGATGGTTATGGTTAACATATCCATATGTTTGCATTGCATATAAACTCGCTGTAGCTGACCCAGCACCTGCAAAGGTACTGCTTTTAGAGGTTTGGAAAAGCGCAGATTTTTACCTTAGCCTCTGGGAGATATACAGCAATTACACACATTCAGCACAAAACACGCTTATCTAAGTAATCACTGACTGGAAAAGAGGTGTTTCTGTCAGCAAACGTTGCCAGAGCTGCACCTGAGGGGGATGCAGCCTCAGGCAGCACAGCCTTACCTCAGGCACTCCCTCTTTGCATAATCCTTATCCTTAAGACATAACCCGCAAATAAACGAGCAGATTTTACCCTAGATTTTAAGAAAAAAACACCTCCTAAGTGTTGTCTAACTTCATCAGCCCCCCAACTGATCGAGTCTCCCTTACTCGAGATGGCGGCTGACAGCAGTGCGCGGCTTCTCTACCCGTAGCCAAGATGGCAGCGGCTGCTCGCCGCGCAGGAGGCTGCAAGGCGCCGGGCCGCGCCACGGATGATAACGCAATGTGCGCGTTGGCGCCCTTGCCCGTACTCAAGATGGCTCCCGATGAGGTTATTTCATGCCCTGCCCCCAATCAAGATGGCGGACGCGTGTGGCATTTCGGCATCCTTCCCGCTCTCAAGATGGCTCCTCCCAGCCGTGTCCCGGAGCCTATCCAATCGCGCCACACACTGAGGCTGAGAACCGCCCCTCGCCCCGCCTGCAGCCAATAGGCGCGTCGAGAAGCTCCAGGGCGCCAACCTCCGGAGGAGGGCAATCCCCGCCCCGTCCATCAAGATGACATCTCCAGTAGCCAATGGGGTACTGGCGCGGGTGAGGCGGGCCGGGTGGCGCCGCCATTTTGTGAGTCTATAACACGGAGCGGTCGGGCTCGTTCCTGTTATTCCGGCGTCTCCACTCCGTTCCCTGCGGGTCTCCTCCGTGTGCAATGGACGGGTGAGTCTCGGCCGGCGCGGGCGGGGCTGCGCCGGTAGCCGCTCCAAGGGACCGCGGGGAGCGTTACGGGATCCCTCCCGGGGTCCGAAGGAAGGGATCGAGTTGTGGTACCGCGCCGGGGGCTGGGGCGGTACCGGGAGGGGGGGAGGGGGCACCGTGGGCGCGGTCGGACCGCGAGGGGAGGGGAAGGAGCCGGAGCCGGGGGGTGCAGAGGCGGGGGTTCTTTACCACCGGACGAAGAGCGGCTGTGGGGGGCGAGAGCCGCACTGAGGGTCCCCTCTCCCCCACTCCCAACAGACCGCCACGGTTGCGGGGTTCGGGAAGGCCGCGCTTAGCGCCGCACCGCTCCGTGCCCGGAGGTGGGAGCGGCGGCTCCGCCCCGCTGGGTGCGGGGGGCCCGGCGGCGCCGCGTGGGCGTGAGGGGCTGGAGCGCGTCCCCGCGCGCGCGCGTGTGCGTGTGTGGGGCGGGGGGGCGGGGGGGGCGGCGGCCGCGGGCGCACCTGGCGACGGGAGCGCGCACCTGGCGGCGGGGGCGCGCTTGCGGCTGATTCGCTCCCATTGTCCGCAGCGGGGAAAGGCGCGGGGCTTCCCGTGTTTGTGGGCGACTGCGGGGCGTGGAGGCGATGTGGGAGCGCGGGGACGCTCTACATGGAAGTAAAGGCAACTGAAACCCTTCTGAGTTTTGGGGAGGGAGGGGGTGCGGAGCCACGGGTTCAGCTTTTCGTTTTTCAGATCCTTTGGCGTGGAACTCTGTGCCCCGCTGGTTCTGCTCCGAGGATTCCCCCGTTACAGTCGTGTTTGCTTTAAGGCTAACTGTGTTTTCCTGCTCATCTGATTCTCGTTCCTTGCTGAGCGTGGCGTTGAGCTGCGGTTCTTCCCAGAGCCCCCAAAAAGCAGTTTGTGCTCCCAGAGCCTTTAAAGCACAGTGAGCCCAAAGCGCTTCTCCTCGTGCATCGCGTGGCTTGGGACGTGGTGTGCCCTTTACACTGAAATAACGTCTGTTTTCATTAAAAAAAAAAAAAAAACCCAACGAAAACCACATCCCAAAACTGTATCTTACAGTACATGCAGTTGGGAAAGCTGTTTTGCTGCATATGTTACAATAGCTCTTAAGTTACGAGTCTGAATTATTCCTGGCCTATCACACATCTCTGTGTGATCTGCTTACCCCAAGAAGGCTGTCCCCTGTTAGAGTTTCAGCAGCTCCTCTGGTTGGCACTGTGTGCCTTCAGCAGAGCTGTGATTTCTCCTACCCGAAGTGATGCCTGGTTTGGTGTCTGGTTGATTCTTACTGCGTGCAGGGAGTTTGTATGGAAAGGCTGTTTGGGAAGGGATTCAGGTTTTGCCCTGGTACTTAATCTCTTATCTGTTAGTGCAGGAATCATTTCATTTTATGTTAAGAGTAACTTCATTACAGGTTGTATTGCCAGCTCTTCTAGGAAGTGAACTATGAATCCCATATTGGAGCTTGTTATATGATAACAACACAGCTGAAGATATAATGTGCAGGAGAAACAAAATATCACATTTAGTGAAAAATAGATCAGTGCTGCTGCTAGTTCTGTGCAGTTTATCACATGGGTTGCAATTCTGGGCTCAGTAGTGCTTGGCATGTAAAAGCTTTTCCTGTTGGATAATTGTAAAGGCTGTCCCCTGCTAAGGCGACTTTATGTAAAACATTTCCTGTGCCTGAGGCCCGCAGGAGGAACAGGAAGCAGGAGCAGTTGCTGGGGGTGAGGCTGAGAGTTTTGGAAACTGGAGAGATTCCTTCTTCGTAATGCACTTTGCTGGAAATACCTTAATGACTGGAACCCGTGGGTCAATGCATGTATTTTAATTGAAGAAATGTATACTCATAGCATATGTAGCAGTTGCTGTAGAATGATTCTCTAAGCTGATACGTCCAGGTGGGTGCGATTTGCTCACTAGTGGTGGCCCTCGCAGTGCAGCAGAACCCATCTGAACCTGGGCAGAGCCTGGAGAATCCCAACCCCTGCCAGGCTGCAGCTCCAGCTGCAAACTGCTGCGGTGTGATGACATGGCACGTTGGGTTGGAGGAGGAAGTGTGAGGAGCTGAGCTGGCCTGGGCGTGCGTGACAGCTCATTTGTGGAGCTGGGGAGATGGGAATGGCTTAATAATAAGATGGAGCAGTATTTAATTCCCTAAAAGATGAAGCGGTGCAGAAGGGCAGGGAAGGAAGAACAGGTCTGTAAGTTTTCTGCTGTTATTGGCTGAGGTTTGAGTGGTGTTCTTGAATACTTCAGATTTCATGTTGATGTAAGAACGACTGCAGTGCTCTCTGTTAGTGCAGTGTGTCCTTCCTGGCTGCAGCTAGCCATGCTGGGTCCTCTGCCTTGGACGTTTGGACTTTGTCAGCGATCCTGTTTGAAAGATAGGAGCTGAAATGGGTGGTGCTGCACGTGGTGCTCCTATCTCAGCTGTGTTACGTTGCTGCTTTACCACGAGTTGGATTTTATTTATAAAAATAAGTAAAAATCTTCAGTGCAAGGGTGTAATTGAAATCCTCTGCCTGCCTGGAGCACGCCCACTAGAAATAACATCCAGGTGTGGTGATGCTCTGGAAGGTTCCTGGGTGCAGTGTGACAGGCTGATCCCAGTCTGTGGTGTTCATGGCAGTGGTGGGTGCTGCTGACAAGAGCTAGCCCAAGTGCCTTGGTGTCCAGCTATGTTACTGTTCACGTTGATCAGTTAATCTGAAATTCTCACTTTAAAAGCTTAAGCATCCGTGATAGAGTTGTTTTTTCCTTCTGCTGTGTTAGGCTGGGAGCTGCCTGGCTGTGCTCACGTGGAGCTGGGCTGTGAGCACCAATAGCTCTGAGTGCTGCTGGTCCTCAGTGCTGAGCTGACTGCTCCTTCAAAGTTAAGGGAGGGTTTCTTTACAGAGCAGGGGAGGTTACTCCTCCAGTGTCAGGTTTTTAAGCATGGTGGAGGTGACTGTTGGTGATGGAGCTGACTCTTGACACTTCTGCCCTTGGTTTGGTCGAAGGCTGCGTTCTCATCACACTGCATTCCCGTGAAGGGAGAATGCTGGACTTGTGCAGCCTGGGGTCCTCAGTTTCAACCCCACAGCATTGTGCTTAAAAAGGGGCACGTTCCATTCTGGGCAGTGGAAGAGCTGCATTTTTGTTTTCCTAGGACTGCTGGGTCTCGGGTCTCCACCATCACCATCTAATAATTTTCCTTTGTATGAACTGTCCTTGGCTCACCTGCAAAGACAACTGTGCACTTTGACTTGCTTTTTTTCTTACTGCTGTAAACTATGCTGGATATTTGTGGCAAACCTATCTAACTTTTTAATCCTTTTCTTTCTTTTTTCTACAGCATTGTCCAAGATATAACAGTTGGTACAAAGGTAGGCACTTCTCACTTTTTCTCTCTTTTTACACTGCTCAGCATCTTGACCTAATTTTAGCCTCGCCAAATGTAGATCTTGAGCTTGAAGGGGTTATTTCTGGTACCATGTCCAGAAGGTAATTTAGTTTCATGTGCATTAAAACTTTTATTATAGCTCAGCACTTAGCTCTTGGCATTTGGACATTGATTATCAACTGTCAGAAGAGAATGTTATTGCATTTAGGAACAGCCCTTTTCCCCTGCTAAAATGTCAAGCTGTGCTTGTTGTGTGTGCTAGATAATGGTTCTCAATGGAGAAATTGGTCCTTTCTCTTTAGAATTCCCCTTCTGCCCCAAAATGGAGTGTTTAGCTGCTGATTTCTATCTCCTGTGAGTACAGTAAATATGACCTTTACCCTCCAGCCTCAGGTTTTGAAAGTGCAGACCTAGCCCTGAAACTAAAGTGCTGACAGGAGCCTCCTTATCTGTGCTGCTCGGTAATTGCTGCTGCGTTCACAGGATGAAGCACATTCCTC